TATCGTCATTTGTAAAATCAAACAATACCATTTATGTTACAGTCCATCATGTTGTAAGAAATTATTGTAGCACCTAGCTCAGTTAAGTGACAGCTTTCACTATTTCCTGCTTATTGGAGTCAGGCAGGTTTCTCCAAGTGCTTAGTGCTTTAATCCTTTACAGTGTTGTTGTTGCATCAATTATTCACCATTAACTGAGTTTCTTCTCTATTTTAGTCATTGCTGTGTTGGATTGGGGGGATGTATCACATTCTCTTTTTCCACTATTCATCATAGTTCTTTATTGATATGAATATATGCAACTTCAGCAGTCTGTTCCGCAAGATTTGGTCATTAAATTAACAGAAAGCTATTTATGAAGCTTTTCATAAAATGTTCTCCTCCCAGTTTTCCATTGTTCAGAGGACAATTGTTTTATTTCCAAGGAGGAAACATTTGAAATAAGGGTCTCTTCTTTTTGCAGCTCAGAGTTCTATCTCCACAGTGTTAGAGAGCAGTTAATAATATGGCAGAGCTCAGCTTCTAATTTGATGCTTCCACAGGCCAGGAGCCCTCACTTTTCCTTTCGATTGTGGGGGTGGGGTTGGGGGTAGGACTTCTACTAAACTGGTTAGAAGAAAAGTTTCAGCTCTTAAACAAAGCAGAAATAGACTCAGAGATATAGAGAAAAAAGTGATGGTTGCTAGATGGCAAGGGGGTTGGGGAATGGAAGAAAAGGCGGAGGGATTAGAAAGTACAAATTGGTAGTCACAAAATACTCACAGGGATGTGAAATACAGTATGCAGAATATAATCAGTAATGTCGTAAAGACTATGTAGGGTGTCAGATAGGTACTGGACTTATCGGGGGGATCACTTCATAGATTGTGTAGATGACTGACCACTGCACTGTACACCTGAAGCTGATGAAGAATAGTATTGAATGTCAGCTATAATTGGATGGATGGATGGATGGATGGATGGATAGATAGATAGATATTCATGGGATGTAAAGTACAGTATAGGGAATATAGTCAGTGGTATTGTGACAGCTATATACGATGTCAGAGGGGTAGTAGACTTGAAGGGGAGAGTTATCACTTTGTGAGGGCTGTAAATGTCTAATCATTATGATTTATACACCTGAAACTAATATAAAAAATTAAATTTAAAAAAAGTTTCAGGGCCGGCCGAGTGGCGCGATGGTTAAGAGCTGGCATGGGACGCCATAGGGCCCTGGTTCGGATCCCACATATGAGGGCCAGTGACGCTGCCCTCTACAAAAAAAAGTTTCAGCTCTTAATCCTCTATCTTGATCATGTTCTTATCCTTTGAAGAAATGATTAGGCATATCCCTAATAGATATATAGTGATTCATAAAATATTAATCATTCTAACATACATATTATAAAAAATTAAAATATAAAGGGTGAGCTTTTTTTTTTTTTTAACATTTAATTGTTTGTTTACCAAGAGAAACTATCCCTTAGCCCAAATATCCATGTTTCATAGTTCAGGAACACAACTCAGTGACAAACTTCCGTGGAAATCAACTCAAATTCTTTACACTCCGAAATCACTTTGCACTCTGAAAAATACCAGCCTTCCTCATCTCCTCAAAATCTTTCATGGAATCCTAAGTTCTGTAGAAATCTGCATATGCCTTCTTCCTTGGTTCAGCCACAGCAAACTTATAGAAAGCTGCAACCCCCAGGGAAACAATGACTGCTCCAACAATATGAACTCGCAGACGCTTGGCCAGAAGGCCACGCATCTGAGGTTTCGCCAAAGCACTGGAAGACATGGTAGCTATATTCTCCCTTAACACCAACGTCCTTCCGGATCAAGGGTGAGCTTTTTAAAAAGAACACATTTTATTATTATCTTCCTAAACCCCGGGGAGTGGGGGGGCATCAGCTAACTGACATCCTCTTTGGAAATCGTTCTTCTATCTAATCCTTTAGACCCAGCCCAAGTCCCTACTCCTGCTTAATTGCTTGATTGTGCCATTTTATCTCTGCAGCTGGATTGTAAACTACCTGAGGTTAGAGACAATGTCTTATCTTCTATATCCCACAAAAATGCCTAGCACAATTTTGTGTACATCATAATTATTCAGTGCTATATTTACTTGTCGATTCATTTCTTGGGACACAACAGAGTATTATTTCACTGATTGTTAACAAAAGGGAGGGAATCCTCAGCCCTATTCTACCTTAGCCATTCTGGGTTTGTTATTCCTAATATTATTCGTCTTGTAAGAGTAAAGACAGTCAACCCTGTCTCCATTTACAGTTGTGAAAATAGATATATAATACTATGTCTGATTAAATGATTTGATTGGGACATCATGGGAAGGGTACAATCTGGGCACCAAACCTGTGTCAGCGCCCACATGTTTGTTTCTTGAGATTTCTGTCTTTTAGTGTCTTATCAAATGGCTGAGTGCTAAAGCATAGCATTTTATTTTTACACTCTCTCTATAGTTAGTTTGTGCTGGTATTCATGCTCCCACTGTTTTGGTATACTACTTCATATTTTATATTTTTTAGGTCTCTGTTCTATTCCTCTAGACCAATGCTATGTCCTTTGACTCTAAAGACTCTTAAATTTCTGAAATTAATTATTTGCAGTTACATTTAGAAATTCTTCATAGCTATTTAGTTCTATGAATATCAGTGGCTTAACATCATAACCTTATTCTTACGGCATTCCTATATTGTCATCTTCTCTTTCTGGGTAGAGAAACTGAATCTAGAAAGAAAAAAATAAGAACAGTTTATTGTCATTGCAAATCTAGGCAACCAAAGCGATGAAAACCAAACACTAGCTGCCAAGTTTTCAGTTCATTTGTGTCTCTCTGGATTATGTCATTCCTTCATAAAAGGTACAGTACTCCGTGTTTATAAAACTCACTAAATTAGATCATAGCTGTTACCAATTGCAACTTAAAGGTTTTGAATTTTTATTTCATTTGCTTGATAGGTATATTAGTCTTTTTTTTTCTTCAAAATTTCAAGGGCTCATAATGACAGATTTTTATTTTTCTTGCTCACGGCTGTGCATGTCAGTTGGGTTGGCTCTGCTCCATGTCTCTCCTTCTCCTTGTACTAGCAGCATCCTGGACATGTTCTTCTCAGGGGGAATGGCAGGAATGTGAGAATGCAAGCCAAAACACCCAAGCACATTTAAAGCCTATGCTCACATTATGTCTGCTAAAACCTATTAGCCAAAGCAAGTCGGTGGACTAGCCTACCATCAATGGAACATCAGTAGAGCTGGGTGTATGTATTCAGTCCTCAGCAGGAGACTGCAGTTACAGGACAAAGGATCTGTATTAAAGAGGGCTGGCAAATTGGGGGAAATAATTCAGCTTACCACAGTAGGGAAGCAAGCCATTAAAACAATCATTGATTTCCTAATATAGGTCCTGTGGACTTGAAACAGGACAACACTTTTTTTTTCCATGAGTAACTTACATCTTCCTTGACTATGTTAGTTTGAAAATTCTCCAGCACTCTGAGTTTCTTTCAAGACTGCCCCTTTACTCCAAAGTTATTGTTTAGTAGAAACAAATGAATATGAGTAGAAATAATAGTGATACTAATTGTTTTCCATGCTTTGTTTGAGAAAGAGCTAGAATTGCTGATTGATTGAAAAAATATATAAGAGGTGGATTAAAAGGAAACAAGATAGAAAACTGCCTAAACAAAAAGCATTCTTGTTAGTAAACTGCTAAGAGATCAATTGAGCACTTGGAATTGAAGTGGAGGGAAAAGAGTTAAGCTAGATTGTTAACTAATGTCATAGTATGGAAGTTGATTTCTGAGCTGCAGAAGGCACCTCATAAAAGGCATTAAAATATCTATTCTTATATAAGTAGGGAGAAAGTTCAGAAGCGGTGTGTTATAATCTGTGATTACTTAGCGAGCTATTAAAGTCAATTTTAATGTAATATTTTATCACTAATTGCAAAAACGAGTTTGTATATTAGTATTAATGCCTACTAAATCCTGCAGTGGAATTAATAGTTCCCTAGAAACGCCTTTCTTCTTGAGGTGATGCTAGGTGTGGCTGCTCAATTGTTAATATTTACTATTTTCTTTGTTGCCTTATATTGATCCTTGAATAGAATCTTTTTATTTTGAAAATGACACCTTTTACAACCTACATTGGTAATATTTCATAGAAGGTACACAGAATTCACTTCATCTGAACAGGCTGGAATGCTATGGAAACTCAAAAGAAACAGTGCTTTATTATGGTGTGTAGTATTATAGTTGTATCTCCTTGAAAGGTACGAACAAGGAAACTGAAGGAGATGTGTAATGCAAAGCTATGCAGTATTAAGCATAACCTCGTCTACCTTTTTTGTCATGGAAATTGAAAGTTCATTTTTCTCTCTGGTACATGTACCTGGTTTAAAAAACAAATGTATTCATGAATTTATGTAATTTTTGTTTTCTAAAACTTTATATTTTAAATTATGGACTCGCAAGATTATAGACTCATAAGAAGTTATAAACATAGTACCCAGAGGTCCTGTGTACCCATCACGTGATCCCGCTTCCCTTAATGGTGACATGAGACTAATTTTTAAATCACTGATGGACCTTCTTTGCCCTCTTTAATAAGCCTGTTGTGTGTGTGTGTGTGTGTATGTGTGTGTGTATGTAATTTTCTTTAAAGAAATGACACCTTATTGTACCTGATCCTCTTTGGCTTTCAGAATTATGAAGGGTCATGTAAGGATCCTTATGTCACTATTGCTTTATCTCTGATACATTCTTCTCCATTTTTTCCATTACCATTGATTGGAAAGGGATTATGTCTCATCTACTTTGCTGGTATGTTTCTCCCCAGTAATTTAAAAAATATGTAAGCCCCATTTTACTCCTTATTTTGAAGAAACATATTCCGTTGGATATTCAGATTTCCTGTTTTGAGTTTATTTTGGTGGTGTCTGAAAACTTGAGAGTTTTTTTAAAACATCATCTCTTCTTTTTTTTTTTTCCTTTTAGCCTGAAAATGAAATTTCTTCAGACTGTAATCATGTAAGTATGGATTTTCCATAATTTATCATATGTGCTTTATATGTATGATGTCAAATTTTGGGATGCTTTTCCTGTTGTTCTGGAAAGCATTATGTCTTTTTAGATTCTCTTAATCTTAAAAAGAGGATGATAAACCTTGTTTAAGTTAAGGGCCATGGTAAATCTACAAATACTCCTTCACTGAAGAAACCAGCAGGTTCTGCCAAATAATATTTTTGTACTTAAGCTTAAGTTTTTCTTTTGTTACAGCTACCGTATGAAAATAATTGTTTCTGTGCTTATCAAGTTTACAACTTTAGATTCTGTATTTTAAATTGTTTCATTTAGTCACCATACAATCATCTAGTAGCTGCAGCAGTGACTACTAGATGAGTCACTGCTCATTTAGAGGGTGGCACCTTCAAAGCCTAAAATATTTACAGTCCTTTCCAGAAAGAGTTTGCTAAACTCTGCCCTGGCCTAGGGATAGAAATGTAAATAAGGAAAACTTCTTTATAAAGCCTTCAACTTAAAATGCTTATATGCTTTGGCCCAGTATTTCTACTTCTAGGAATTTATGTGTAGTTATACTTAAATGAATGAATTAAAAGGTATCCATAAAAGGATATTTGTTGTGGTATTATTTATAAAGCAAAATATTAGGAAAAACCCTCAAAATTCATCAATAGGCCAAATCTGGCAGAGGAGAAGTCCAAAAGGAAGCTGATCTGTGTCTAAAAACCTTAAAGGGCTGAAGAATAGGAAGGACATGAGGACAAATAGTATACAGAAAACAGGAGAACTGATGTCATAAAAAGAGAAGATTAGGACACAGACACAGACACAGAGGGAAGAACATAGACAGATACAAGGAGAAGATGGCTACCTGCAAACCAAGGAGAGACGCTTCAGAATAAATCAGTACTGTTGACACCTTCATCTCTGACTTTCAGACTCGAGAATTGTGAGATAATGAAGTTCTGTTATTTAAGCCACTTAGTCTATGGAATTTTGTTATGACAACCCTAGCAATCTAATACAATCTAACAATATAATGCATTGGCATTATCATTTTTCCCATTATAGGTAATGGAACAAATCTTTAAAATTCAGTAGCTTTCCATCTAGTAGGAAATTCAGGAATGAATTAATGGCATTAAGCAAGAGATAAGATAATTATGAACAATTTTTTGGCCAATGAAATTGAAAGTGTTGATGCAATGGACAAATTCCTAGAAAAACAAACTTACCAAAACTAACACAAGAAGAACCTTTAAATAACCCTATGTTTAATTAAAAAATTGGATCTGTAAATACAAATCTTCTCAATAAAGAAAACTCCAGGACCAGATTGATTTATTGGTCAATTTTTACAAACACTTAAGAAAGTAATAGCATCAACCTTTCAGAGTGTAATAAAAGTGGAAACATCGTCCTGTTCAGTGAGGCTACCGTAACCTTAACATCACCTGACAAGGATATAACAAGAAAGGAAACAAATAGTCCATTGTCACTCATGAACCATACATGGAAAAATGCTAAGCAAATTAGAACTGAATCCAGTAACATGAAAGAAGGGAACTACATCAAGACTAATTTGGGTTTACTCCAGAATTGAGGTTAAATTTAACATTTGAAAAATTAATCATTATAAAGGAGAAATATGTTATTATCTCAATAGATACATTAGAAAACCTTTGATTAAGTTCAATACTTGTTTTTTGAACTTTTATTATGGGACATTTTCTAACATTCATAATTAGACCAAAGGTTACAGAATAGAAGGTTAACTTACAAAAATCAGTTGTATTCCTATTGACCAGCAATGAATAACTGAAAATGAAATTAATAAAACAATTTGACTTACAGTAGCATCAAAAAGAATCAAATACTTAGGAATAAATATAACAAAAGAAATGTAAATTTGACCTTATGGTGTTAAGGGTTTTAAAGGAATGAAGATAGATATGCCTGGAAACTGGACTATGGGCAACTCTCCATAAAACTGATCTACGAAGTTACTGTTGATTGTGGAATCTGTGACTAAACCCACCAAATCTGATCTTCTAGGTTCGACTTTTTGGCTTAAACAGAATCTAGCTTATATTACTTATGTATATTTTCTCTAAAAACTTTATCAGGGATTTTAGTTTTATTTATTTATTTTTTTTACTTTAAAAAAAATTGTCCTTAAATAAAAAAAGAAAAAAGAGGGCCAGCCAAGTGGCACATTGGTTAAGAGTTGGCTTCGGACGCCAGCTCTGAGCATTAGGGCCCCGGTTCAGATCCCACATGAGGGCCAGTGACGCTGCGCCCTCTACAGCTAAGATGGTGAACAACAGCTCAACCTGGAGCTGGGCTACCATGGGTCACCGGCCACGGTGTAGGCTGCAGCTCCTGCTGCAGTGGACTTCCGTGAGCCGTGGCCATCCAATGGCCGGTGAGTAACAGCCTCACCTGGGAAGAGTGCAATGATAATACCAACATGGGCCAGTGAAGTGATGCCCTCCACAACTAGACTGAAGAACAAAAGGACAGCAACTTGTCTGTTCCCCTTCCCTAATTCCTCAACACTGTTCCCCTCCTCCAATTCCCCAATAAAACCTTTAAAAAAAAAAAGAAAAGAAAAAAGGATGTCCAAATGCCAAATGATCGTGTTTTCTTTTGACTGCACATTTTTTCCTTTTATCTTTAAGTGCAGTGACATTTTGTTATACTTTTCTGTTAACTGAAGTGTGAATATACTTTATCTGACTCTGTACAATGAACTTTTATCATTTATTTTTATCATAATTTATCATTAATCATTTATAGTTATCATAACTGATGGTAAATTTCATACTATTCTAACTGGAGCTCTTTTTGTTTTTTTCTCTTGTACATAGTTGTTGTGGAATTATAAGCTGAATCTAACTACAGATCCCAAATTTGAATCAGTGGCCAGAGAGGTTTGCAAATCTACCATTTCAGAGGTAGGCTGTGAAAGAATTTTGTGGGTCTTTAATGGCATAGAAAACTACATCTCTTTACCAGACCAGTCATTAAGGGAGGAATGACTCAGTTACTTTACTTTTCTTGGAATTCACATGTGTATTGTTTGAGAGATAGGCCAATGTGGGTGTAATTAGACTTCTTTTTGTTAACATTCACCTACACTTACAGTAGGATGTTGTTGATTCAGACAAGTTGATAATCAGGCTCTGTTGGTTCCCAAACAGAAAATACAGCTGCTCCTGTCTTCAGCTGCTGTCACACATTTTGCAGTCTGCCTATGTCTGAGGCATATCAAAATGGTTTCCCCAGGAGGCTTATAAACATTTCTAAGCATTTTGGCTATGCAGTTGGATCAACTGAACCACAGAAGCATAGGCTTCAAATACTAGGAGTTAGCATTAAAAAGGTGTGCAAAAAGATTGTTGTGTATATTGTTATAAATAAAGGTTGAGTATCAAGACAAAAATAATTCATGAAAATGTGTAGCATTGTATGGATGCTAATTGGAAAATTTTTTCAGTTATTTTTCTTGGCTTAGTATAAACAACAAATATTAGTGAAAATTGTGGTATTGAAATTTTTATTGTATTTTATTTTATTTTTTGTAATCAGTGATTGAAATTTGAGAAAGCCAGAGATTTCTGCATACTGAAGTATAAGAATTATAAATCAAGCAGTTGCTATTTTTCCGTCTCAGAAGTTAATAATCACAGATCTTGCAACATATAGATCCATCCTCAAACTATTTGATGACTTAAGTCAGGGCCACTTTCTTCTGAGCTCTTCAGGAAGACCCTACTCAAACATACAAGCCCCCAGCTCGTGTTCCTCACTTCAGTCCTTATGCGATCTTGTAGAACCTGTTTTGGTCCTCAAACCTTCTAATCCTGGATCAGATATGTTTTATTCTTTTATAGCAGTGACCCTTCTTCAAGTTTACCTTGGAGCTTCACAATATGTACAATAGCATATCTTTGAAACATTGATCTTTAGCTCCTAGCTTCAGTATTCTCCTCAAACTCCCTTAGCTAGCTATTGGGTCGTTAGGAAAGTCATGATGCATTTTTGCATTGAAAAACATAGAAAAATACTTCATGACTTTCCCAACGACCCAATATATGACTAGCTATGCATACCAGTATGATTGCCATGTGGAGTTTTAGCTCAGAGTATATGCAGACTCATCAGAATAATTTTATTCTTGGCCTGCTTATAATATATATTAAGATTATAATGCTGGCTTCCTTATAATATATACTGTAATGATGGCCCTCTTGTAATCTTTTGGGGTATTGTGGTTCTCTAACAGATTCAAGTTATAAGGGCACTTCTCCCTTCCTAGGGGAGATACTGGGGTCAGGAAAATTAAATATCAGGAAGAAATAGTTGCCAACAAAACATTTTATTCTACATATCCCTCCTATCTTCTTTCTTAATTTTGGAATCCTATTTCCAAGGAGAAAAACAACACAAGAATACCTGCAAACTATAAACCAAACTTTTTATTTAACCTCCATGATTGAGCCAAATACTGCCTGCTTTTCTCCTGCCTCGTGTCAAAAATAGAGCAAATCTGCTCCCCAGCCACTTCAGAGTTTACGCCTATTCATAAATGTGTTAATGAGTTAATGCTGTTTTATGCTGTTAATCTTAGAAAATTTCCTTCTGTCATATTAAACTTCTGTCCAATAGAATGGTTGATAAAAAGCGTAACTTTCTAATTCAAACACTGTACATCCTTTTATAATTGATGGTGAACTGAAATACAAATAGTACTACATTTATGTATTTCAGTAACATCTGAAGTGGTTAAAGGTAAATATACTTTTGATTTCTTATTGGGGCTCCCATTCAAATTGTGCTCTTGGTTTTTCTTCAGATTTTTAAACTGTTGGCTGCCCAGTATTAGAGCCTGTGTGAATACTTCTACATCATTACAGTTTAAAACCCAGGTGTCTGCCACTAGTCCTGTTTTTTTTTTTTTTTTGATGCATGTTTTTTTCAGTGGTTGAATTACAAATGCTGAGATTTTTCAAGGAGCTGTACCTCCTTTCACTTTTGAAATTTAACTCTGTTTTGCTCAAAAAAAAAGAAAGAAAAAACTTTTCCTGGAAATATATTCATGGCTCTGTTTTTAGGCATCACAAAAAAAGAGCTCAAGGTTAAGCTGAAAGAATTTCATTCATCTTGACTGTTGAAGATCCATGCTGTCTCTTAAAGCCAGTGTGAGACTATTTACTTAAATTCCAAAGTTTGCTTCTTTAAAAGTAAACACAGTTTTCTATCTTGAACTCAGTTTTTGACTTGGTCTGGAGTTAGACATAAGAGACCTAGTAGCCTAGGATAAGTGTGTGATATGTCTTTCACCCAGCACCTTGGGGAAAAGGAGATGGTGTTTGTTTTGCCCTTTGTACATATTTATGATAGGTGGTGTGTGGTAGTGGAGAATGGCCTCGATTGGTTTCCAAAAAACAATAAAACACTCCCTTCTCATTTACATTAAAAATAAACATTTATAGTTGGCTCTTTCCTCTTGTCAAAACTGCCGTTTTTTGTTGGTTTTTAATTTCTCTATATGAGTAGGCCTTTTCCAAACGACTTTCTTTGCTTCATAATTCAAGTCTATAACCCTATAAGTAGATTTCACTTTTTTATGCCTGCATTCCAGCACTTTTTGGCTAGCTTGCCTCATTAGCACTTGTGGTTTTGTATGTACTTTGCAGGAACACTAACCATGTGGAATCACTCTGTGCTTGATCCCCTAGATCATATGTCTACGCCACCCAAATTAGGTTTGCAGTGGTCTTGCCCTTCCCAAACTCCTTGCCAGACTGCACTGAACATCATTTTAAACATGATTCTGTTCCAGACCACAGTGGTGAAGCTGGGATTCTACTAAGTTCAAAAACACATGTCTAAAATCATAGTGAGTTCAGAACACATTAATGTCATGTCAAGAAGCAATATTATGCCTTTCCTCCTTCCTCTGCTTGACCATTAGGTTCACCTAACAGTAGTAGTTTGCTGTGTAGCTTGGCTGGGACACGCAACTAGACTTCAGTTCTGCACCTGTCTTCCAGACCTATTACCTAGATTAATTTCCACACTGTCCATTGCATCCTTTGCATGGATCAAGGAACTTCTCAGTAGACCCACTTAGAATGGTAGAACCATTCTAAAACTGTAGATGTTAAAAGAGATTTTTAATTGTATCTCAATAAAGCTGAAATTTGTAACAGCTTTTTTTACTCCATTTGGACATGAGTCCTACCTAGCATTTGTATATGTATGTATTTTCTTGCAAAACACATCAATCAGGTATTTCCTAGAGGGCACAACAATCTTAGTAGGCATGACACTATCAACAAGAAAATATCAAACATTCTCTCTTTCGTAAATGTCATTTGATGTGAGAATAGAATACTTGTGTAAAACAGCCACTTTCTTTTGAGCAGATTAAAGAATGTGCTGATGAACCAGTAGGAAAAGGTTACTTGGTTTCCTGCCTGGTGGATCACCGAGGCAACATCACTGAGTACCAGTGTCACCAATACATCACCAAGATGACGGCCATCATTTTCAGTGATTACCGTCTAATCTGTGGCTTCATGGATGACTGCAAAAATGACATCAACATTCTGAAATGTGGCAGCATTCGGCTTGGAGAAAAGGTATTTACTACACTGACTTCACCAAAGGGGTCTGACGAACTTAATAAATGAAAAGCTTTCATGACTGGCATGGGGAAAATTTAGGTCTGGAGGTGACCTTTAAGTTGAGGTCCAGACAGCTCCAAGATCTAAGGCTAGTTGACCTATGAATGCATCTCATCTGTTTGTGACAGAATGTTTCGATACAGTATGGAGAAGCAGAGAAATTAATTATCTGCTAAGAGTAGTGTTATCTTCAAAATACTAAACCACTTACTGTTACCTGTAATGTTCCTCTGGCAAAACATTTTGTAGTCTTATGGGAATAGTAGTTAGGTTAGGAGAGACTTGAGTTCTCAAACCTTTCTCTGCGCATACCTCACTGTTCCCATTAAAAAAAAAAATCATTTAGTAAGCACACCAGTACAAAAGAAGATATTTAAATATTAGAAAATTTTAAGATATGTGAAAGTGCTTCAACTTGTCAGAAGAAAGGTACTCTATAAATGTGATATATTATCTTCATCTCAGAAGAACTAGTTTTAGTAAAGACAGAAAAGAAAGTACTACCTAACTAGTTTCTTCTTCCTTAACCTCCCTGGTGGTCTGATTATGTCAGTAATTTTGTACCCAAAGCGGTACATTGTTTTGCATGGAAATTTGTTGTTTTATATTGTAGGCCTGTAATTCTTAGGAATTACTTACTTAAATCTGTCCAAACGAGTCTAGTAGGCATCCCAGGTATGATAAAGTTTGAAAAAGTGTGGCTCGGGGTTACCGCTTCTGGCAGTGAAAATTAACCCCGAGCCACACTCGGGATTACCGCCAGGGTGGTTAATTATATCTGATCTTATTTTTTACCTTATGAGTCTGTTGTCCAGAAGGTCACAATGGAGGTTTGACCAAGTTTATTCTGAATTTGTTTGCTCGACAAAAATGAAAGAAACTCTTAAGAAATAACAGATGCCAGTGGGAGAGGTAGTCTGGGACCCTTGTGTGGCATTAGCTATTAATTGTCCCTGGTCATTAATCTGCTGTTTAGGAAACATGACAAAAAATAAAATTCATTTGTCTCTGCCCCTATTTGTTCATTGGACCATGCTTTTCAGGCTTCCGTCACTGAGAAAGGGGGACATGGTGTAGTTTGCAGGAACTGCACACACCAGTTCAAATGGAGGTTTTAGTGTTGGCTATTGTCTGGCTGTCACCAAATACCCTTTCCTTCATACCAGCTCAGGGCTCTGGCCCTTTCACAGGGAACTTCTCAGTCTATCTTGAGAGCACTGTGAACTTGGCATACAGCTTTCAGGAAGCTGAAAAAAGTCCAGTTTTAATAAAGAAGGCAGATTTTTTTTTTCTTCTCGGCAGACTCTAGAAATGGCACAAAAGCACTTAAGTCACCCTGATAGTTCAGTAAGTTCCTCTGATTTATTTACGGTTTTGGAGATTATATCCAATGCTAAACCTCACTCTTTGTAAAATCTTCACGTAAGTGTTCCCGACACACTTATCAGGAATCAGTGATGACATTTGTTCGTATTTGTGACTAGTGGCCCACACTTGAGAGGGGACTGTGACAACTCACCTCTTTGTAGTAGTTCATCCCTATTGACCACCAAGATAATTGCTGGTTAGCTTCCCACTAGCAATCCGAATTGTCAGTATAAAACCTGCCTTCCATGGTATATATGAGTTCTAAGTCTGAACTGAAATGATTCCAGAAAATAGTAGTGCTAGAGCCTCAAGACATGACAGGGTTTTCAGCTTTGTTAAAATAACAAAAAAAAATATTTCTCTGGACCATCAACATGTGCATTTTTTGGTCATTTTCATCTTTTACTATACTTACCAGTTAGGTGAATTTCTGTGCATACTGAACCTCCCAACCCTTGCATCAAAGGCTTTCTTATATTTTGGGGACAGTAAGGTGACTCATGCCTGTGCTTCTGAAAAACATGTTCCTTCCTGTATAATCCACTCTGGTACCACAGCCAAGTTTAAAAATGGGGAGGCGTGCCCTCAGCCCTTCTTTGCCTTTTCTGACTATAGCTTACTTCTCTGAAGCCAGTTATTTAGATATGAAAATTATCCTGAAAATTAATAAGTTGGCTTCTGAGCACAGAAGAGAACAGACTCATCAATTCAAATTTGTTGCCACTGAAGCTTGTAAACTCCTCTGTTACTGGCTTTGAACTGACCTCCTCCAACCGTCAGAGGAGAAGGGGTCATGGTTAACCTGTTTGTTCCCTCCTCTGTATGAACTTATAAATGTCATGATTTCAAAACCATAATGATTTTTTCCAAAATGTTAATATACATAGAAATTTTAGAACAAAGACTAAATATGCATTAGATCTTTAGAGTCTTCTAAATAAATATTGTTAAAATGAAAGGGCAGATCTCCAAAACTGAAAGTGTAAATAATTTATATCATCTGACGAGAAAGTCAAATGTGGCATTCCTTACAGGAACATAATGTGGACATGTGCCACATTATTACTACTTTATGCTTTTCACTCAGTAGTTATATCATTGATCATTCCATGCTTTTAACCAACTACTTTGAATAATTCAGACATTCTTTTTCTCTTCATCTAATGAAGTAGATCACAGAAGACACCAAAAATGTTGAAATAGAGAATTTATAGCAGAGATAAAAACTGGGTTCTTGTCTACCTCTTTGAGATTAGTGTTATCCTTCTCTGTCCTTAAAAAAAAGAGTGGAGGGAAGGACAAGGTATATGGGGAAGAAAAAAAATATTACCTATCGAACTGCTAAAAACTGATCAGGACACTAGCAGTAGTTTTAAGATAGACATTTGTCTCACCACAATAGAATTTTTAAAACTCATTGTAAATCCATTTATATGATCATTTGTTATTCATATGTCAAGCCTATGTATTAATAACTTAACTTTTTTTTTTAGCTGAGCCATCCTGCCACCTGTTGGCAGCTCAGCGGCAGCTCAGCTTGGGCTGGGAATCGAACCCCTAGTTGCTCAGAGCTCACACTATTTAGCGAGCTCTTAACCAACTGAGCCACTGGGCCGGCCCTTAACTTAACTTTTCTTAACCTAAGTAATTTTATTTTCTTGTAGATGATGTGCCAGTGTATAGTTTACCTCCCTTGCTTTCATTCATATTCAGTAATTAGCCAAACAGTTTTCTTTGTCAAATATTTGCATACATTTCAGTTATATAACTCAAATGCGCTGAAATAAAAAGCTCAGAGACTCTTGAGAACTGAGAAGAATTCCTGAAATATCTTTATTTGAAAAAATTATCTAAAGTTACGATGAATGAAAACGTCTAATGGAGGTGATGTTATGACCTAATACCAATATGTGGTGCTGCAATTGCTCTAAGTAAAATTAAATCTCAGATTTCTTAGGAGGTCTCAAACTATGATGGTGCTGCCTTATATTCAACAAGAAGCAAATGGAACCATTAAGAAATATAATATAATTTTACTGGTAGCACATTTAAAACAGTTATAAACATAAAATATACAGGGAAATAAATACTTCGACTTATTACATGGAAATCACTTCCTTAACCTATGATGCCTGGACTAAAGGCTGAATCTAAATCAAGAGTTGATGATCATGCTATTATTTTCAAACTCTTATGTGATTCAGACCTGATTGCTCGCAACCATCTAAGTAAGTTATTATGGGCTACTAAATTTGGTATAGAATATTGTTTTATAACATAAAATCATGTTTATAATAATTTTTTGTATGCTGTAAATAATAAGTGATTGATAGGTTTCTGTCTAAATCTTTGCTATCATAGGTTTGTTTTTCCTTTGGGAAGTGGAAATGGGTAGGCCTTGCCTAAGTGGGTCATAGTCAGACAAACCTGAGTGTCACTCATAAATTAGGAAGAAAAAATAAAACTTACTCTGGATCTTTGGGATTTCTGTCCACTTTTCTCTCATTTTTTTGTCACTTGTCCCCCAGAGTTTTGTTTATATGTTCAGAATTAACTCTCCAAAAACCTTTTTAGTCATCTTAGGTTTCTAAGCATTGGATAGAATCATACAACTGGTGAGTAAGGTTAAGGTATAGAAAGAGAATAGGAAGACATTAGAATCTGCTAGTATGCTGTGCTTCCTAAATCTTTTTTGGGTCAGCAAACCTTTGAAAGCTATGAACCTTCCTCAGGAAAAATATATAAAACCCACATATAATTTTAGGGCTTTCATAGAACTCACCATCTAGAAAGATAAACAATGGACTCTTAGCTAGTCATCTTACATTCTGCAACTCAGATGAGTTGGTACAGTCCTCTAGGCCTCTGTTTGCAATTCCGCACAATGGGTACCACAGCTCTTATCCCCTCTTCACAGGTATAATAGGAGAGAACATGAAAAAATACTTGGGAAGTATTGTGCTATTTACAACAAAATTTTTTTTAAATGTATTTTTTTTGTTGAATTGAAAAAAATTATTATTATTGGTTTCAGGTGTACAAGACAACATAATGATTAGACACATACACGCCTCACAAAGTGATACTCCAACAAGCCTACTACCCATCTGACACCGTACATAGATATTACACCATTGACTACTATATTCCTTATGCTGTACTTTACATCCTGTGACTATATATATGTGTGTGTGTGTGTGTATTTTAAATTATAGTTGACATTCAATACTATTTTATATTAGTTTCAGTTGTACAGTGCAGTTAAGCATTTATATATGGGCTATGAAGTGATCCCCCCAATGAATCCAGTATATTGAATTGAAATTTTGCTTAAAGAAAATGTTTCCCTATCTGGTTTTAGGAATCTTTTTATTATGTACAGATGATTTCATGGACATGGTATTTTACTATAAAAAGATTTTATATGTGTGTATAAATAAATGATAGCATTGTATTTTCTGCTGCTTTGGTTTGCTTTGTTAATGGTTATACCTCTCAAGTTATTGAAGCATATTTTCTAAGTATAGAAGATTAGGACTCTTGAATAGGAGAAGTTTCTCATATTTGAATGAATGAATGCTTGTGGTTGCTATGGGGATGATGCAATGTACAATTAAAGGTAATTGGATGGCTTTAGGAAAGCTCTCCAAAGTGGTTTGTATAAATGGTAATCTCATTAAAATCACATTAACATAAATCTAAAACATGGAAGTGAATATCACACTACAGGTTATAAACATTGGGATCTTTGTGGACAGTATAGAATAAAGAAAAAGAGGAAGTGTTTCTGTAATATCTTTTCTCAAAGAATCTTGTAGTTTGTTGTTGTTTTTTTTACATGACTAAAAGCACTATTATCTGGGAAATACCTAGCCCCGTACGAGATAAGTTAACAGATTTCTGCGGTATTATTTCAGCATTGGCATGAGCTATGAACAGAGCATTAGGCTAATATAATTCCTTTAACTTTTCTGACATTTTAACTTTAAAAACTTGTGTTCCTATTTCTAGTGCTAACTAAACTATACTTAATTGACCAGAATCTCTATTTTCCTTTGAAGCATGCATTACATTCTAATCAAAGATTATCGAGGATATTTTCTGTAACTTCCACAGCGTGGTTGGTTCCCACCTGATTTCTCAGTAGAACATCAATAAGCTAACTATATGTTGAGCCTCTTTTTTGTTTTTAACCAAATGATGTTTATTTGAAACTCACTGTGGTGAGATTGTAAACACTAGTACCCTTACTATTTTAGGATGCACATTCACAAGGTGAGGTGGTATCTTGCTTGGAAAAAGGCCTGGTGAAGGAAGCAGAAGAGAGAGATCCCAAGATTCAAGTCTCTGAACTGTGCAAGAAAGCCATTCTCCGCGTGGCTGAGCTGTCCTCAGATGACTTTCATTTAGACCGGCATTTATATTTTGCCTGTCGAGATGATCGGGAGCGTTTTTGTGAAAATGTGAGTCAACTCTGAAACCGTTCTTCTTTTCTTCCTTTTCTTTTTAAATGTTTTAAAATACTCTACTCCAAAATAAAATAAACTAACACAAACCTCACATGTAGAAAAGCCACTGAAAATGGAAGGTGAATGGAGTTGGCTTCTGGATAACAGAAAATGTTATACGGATGCTCAGCCTTGATTTAACATCTGGTTAACACTTGGCTTCTGACAATCTCCACACATTCTTTCTTCTACTTTATCTAACTTCTCAATTTCAGTTCTTGGGAGTCTGTCTTACCTACAGGTAATCCTATTTTACCAGAGACTTCCATTCACATCTATTCCATGGCTAAAACTATGCCATTAATATTACATATTTATATGTTTTTGGCTAAGGTGAAAAAACAACAGGTGGCTAGCTTTTAAAACCAAATTCTTGATTACTACCCACAGACCCTATAGAACAACTTTCTAACACTATAAATGGAACAATCTATTATCTTTACAACAAAGGACTGAGCGCGACTTGTGTACACTCCCACTCTGCCTATTGTTTTGAATTAATAGTTTTAACTGTCAGAGCCACTGATTGAAAGAGTTTTATTAACTCTAGCATAATGTTATAAAAAGGGCGACTCACTGACACTTCTCTTAATTCCCTAATTAACAGTGTATCTGGGAATAAATGACAGGCATTATGGGAAATATTTATTCATCTTTACTGCAGGTACTATTTCCTTTCAGTGACTACTAAATTTGGTAAAAGCCTAAGCCATTTGTTCAAAGGTACTCACCATTATGTTAATTTAACAGAAAGTTCTATATAGGATTATGGATAGTGTTCAGCATAACTAGTTAGCTAATCATCATCCTCATCACTGTAATGTGTATGTTCCATCTTGGTTTTTTTTTTTTTATTAGTTTCAGGTGTACAAAGCAATGTAATAGACATTTACACCCCTCACAAAGTGATAACCCCCCCACCCCAATCTGCTACCCCTCTGACATCGTATAGAGCTGGTATGTGTGTTCCATCTTATAGACGCAGGCTGGTGAAGGCAGAGTGTATAAGTGTCTCTTCAATCATAAATTTGAAGAATCCATGAGTGAAAAGGTAAGTATTATTTTGAAACAAGCCAATTTTATTCATTTCTTGAAAGCTTTCTCAAATCCTCTCAAACAATATTCTTGCAAACTGATACCAAAATGTAAATGACTGATAAAGCTTACCCTGTTCAGAGGTGAGATAGTTGGCTTTTAGTAGGGAACCAAAGCGTATTTTGCTTAAGCCAAGAAAATGAAGCTTTAATTGTGAATTGTGATATCTGGACATTGGGAAGCCAACTGGGAATCAGTGTGGAGAGTAAACTTGGAGAATTTTGTTTCAGAATCACACTGAAGCCAGCCCTACATACTCAGGAAATTTAACCAAACCAAAGTACTTCATAGGTAATTAGCTATTTAATTTTTCAGTAGCTGTCTCATTAAGCATCGTCATTACTGTTAGTCTTCTGTTCTTGCATGAATGCAAGAATGTTTTATGGCTTTCTAAAGTAATTATTTTGGGGTTTTCTATCCTGTCATTTACTTTCCTTATGCACCTGAAGAAATGTTTTTTATTTCAGTTCCTTTACTATTGAATAATTATATTTTAAAAGTATAGAGTGAAACTTTCAGAGTATTATGTCAGTTGCCACTTTGATTCTGGTAAAATTTATTTTAGGGATATTGTTAAAGTGGAAAAGAATACTGTGTCAAGTTCATGTATTAGAATCTACCAAATCTGCATGTGTTTAGAACAGCTGTTATCGATTGCAGCAACAATCCACAATTCACTGTAGAATTCCAGGGCTCCCCACCCATTCACCCCTGCCTCTTGCCACACTAGTTTAGCATGCTTGTGTTCAGTTTTAACCAAATTTAAACACAGGCATTTTGGTAACAACTGCAAGTTGTTGACATGTACTTGGCCATGAGCCTCAGGTACATGCGAACAGCCGAACCACCTGAGCAGTCTTACAATTCTCTTACTACACTCTTTATTCAGTGTCGAGAAGCACTAACAACCCGCCAAAAGCTGATTGCCCAAGATTATAAGGTCAGTTATTCATTGGCCAAATCCTGTAAGAGTGACTTGAAAAAATACCGGTGCAATGTGGAAAACCTTCCCCGGTCCCGGGAAGCCAGGCTCTCCTACCTCCTGATGTGTCTGGAATCGGCTGTGCATAGAGGTAGGAGTTCATTTCTTTTTATCCTTTTCATTCCTCTTTGGATTCACATTCTAAAACATCTTATACCTGTAAATGTCAGTTTCCCCCTGTATTTGCTCTTTTGAGCACACTTGTGCCTGTGACTCAGGAATCTGTCTTTGTAAGCATAACTCGAGGAATTAAGGCTTGGTATCCTTAAGCCTTATTGAAGGCCCCTCCTCTTAGCTCAACAATCCCTGATATTGTTTTTGTTTTTCTTTATATCCTGGCTTGCTTTTTTTTTTTTTTTTAACAAAGTAAAGTATATTTCTCAAATCCAAATCCAAATATTTTAATTTTTTAAATACATATTGTACAGCATTTTTAGGAGAGTCAGAGTAGCATAATGATTTAGCACATGAGCTTTGTGTCAGAGAGACATGGCTTCAAATTATGGCTTTGTCACCAAACTAACTGACTGGGTGTCTACTGTTTACATTTCTTAATCTCTCCAAACCTCATTTTTCTTATCTATAAAAAAATAATATTACCTGTGATGAGGAGTTCTTATGAAGACTGAGTGAGGTAATTTGGAATAGCATGTAGCATACAATAAGTGATAGATACTATTATGATCATAACAGTGATGATATTAAGGAATTAAACAATAAAAGATGAAAAGTTTATCCCCATAGAGTCAGACTTATGGTCTGTTTAGTCAAAAGCGAACCCCTGACAAAGGAACCAAGAAGGATGTATAGAAGGTCAGGGTTGTCTTCCTTAATATTGACTGTAGGCTGCAAAACTTAAATTTCTAGCTCTTATTGAATAAATGGTGCTGGGACAATTAGTGATTAAAAAGTTAAGTGAAAAAATCAATCATTAAATAAAGCTCTGAGCTTTTTGGTGAATTTTTTTTTTCATATCTGGGTATTGAAGGACTCGTAACCTGTAAAGCAATGGAATAGCAACCAGAGCTAGTGCATGGTCTTGGATTGAATACCAAACAAAGGACATTTTGGAGACAATTGGAGAATTTTTATTATGGCCTGGTGTTAGATGAAATTTTCCTAAAGTGGAAATTATTGACTAGTAAAAGCATATTATAAAATAGTATGTATAAAGTAACCTAATTTGATATTGAAAAAAGAGTGTTAATGTTCTTAAACTACAAATTATCAAGAAACACAAAAAGACAGTAAATAAATGGCCAAACGATATGAACAGATAATTCAGAAAAGTTATACAGATTGCTAATATTAAAGAGACTGATTTATATTAAGTGTTGGTGAGGATATGGAAAAATTGGAACTATCATACATTGCTGATGGGAATTTAAAATGGTATAGTCACTTTGGAAAATAGTTTACCAGTTTCTTAAAAAGTTAAACATGCATCTTCCATGTGATCCAGCCATGTAACTCTTAGGTAGTTGCCCAAGAGATATGAAAGCATGTGTCCATAGAAACTCTTATACATGAATGCTAATAATAGCTTTATTTGTAATAGCCCCAAACTGGAAATAACCCAAATGCCCATCAACAGCTGAAGGGGTAAACAAATTGTAGTATATTCACATAATGCAATAGTATTACTTAGTAATAATAAAAAGGAATGTAAATACATGGATGAATCTTAAAATAGTTATTCTGAGTGAAAGAAGTCAGTCAAAAAAGAGTCCATACCATATGATTTCATTTACATAAACTTCTAATAATTGCAAACTAGTAAACTAATCTATAGTCACAGAAAGTAGATTAATGGTTGACGGGATGGGGCGGGTGGGTGGAGAAGAAAGAAAGGGAGGAATTCTAAAGGATCATAAGGAAACTTTTAGAATTGGTGGATATATATATTTTCAGTATCTTGATTGTGGTGATGGTTTTACCAATGTGTACATATGCCAAACTTATTCACTTATATGTTTTAAAAAATATAGTTTGTTATATGTCAATTATACATTAGTAGAGCTGTTTTTTAAAAACATTTCTTAAGCTTTCCCATTTGGCATTTACAGGTCAAGGAAGGTGGGGGGCTGTTGTGAATATTTGAAGTGTAGTCTTTTCCACAAGCTTTAACCTCCTAGGCCAGTAGGGATTGCTCTTGGCTTTCATATTTACCCGAATAGTTAGCCTATTGAGATTTCCATTGGCAAAACATTTGCATTATTAGTTCAGTAGTATAAAATCTGTATAATGCAGAACGCTGACAAGGTAAACCCTAGTCTCTGGAGTCTTAAACTCATTTTATGCTAATAAAGCTTTTGCTAAATTCTAAACTTTTCAGTTTAAATAATAGTATAAATGGTATATTATATTCTAGGAAAAAAAACATGTACCTTTAATAAGTGGTGATATCTGATCCTAATGCTCACCATAATGTTATGACTTAAATCCTAACTTAGGCCGACAAGTGAGCAGTGAGTGCCAGGGGGAGATGTTAGATTACCGACGCATGCTGATGGAAGATTTTTCCTTGAGCCCTGAGATCATCCTGAGCTGTCGAGGGGAGATTGAACACCACTGTTCTGGATTACATCGAAAAGGGCGAACCCTGCATTGTCTAATGAAAGTAGTTCGGGGGGAGAAAGGGAACCTTGGAATGAACTGCCAGCAGGCGGTAAGGAAAAATGTTCTACTGCCATTTTGAATGTCACATTTTATCAGCTGAGGAGCCTCTTCCTGACACTGTCCCAACTTACTTTCTTTGGATCATTTGTGACATCACAGTGAATATTAGGCACTAAAAATCAGACACAGAATATTGTTTCTTCAGGCATGTCACAGTAAGAATGTGGATTCTGCTGCAGAGTAGAAGTTTGAGCTCATAATCAATAAAAAGAGCTATATACTTAAAGAAATAGATAAAATGCATTGTTTGCTGGAATATTTTTTTTAAAAGGTAACTTGATAGATTGGATTTACTAAACTCACAATGAAGCAAACCAAGTTCTGGTAAATCAAAAAAGGTCCTCCACCAAAAGAATTTTCCCATTGGGTTTGATGGAATTGAGGCTGAAAGAGAGCTAAAATTAATAGAAATTTTCTAAGAGTTTCTTTGTATTACTAATATGCAACATGGCATGAATTCCAGGCCTGAAGGATCAAGAAAGCATGTCGTTTTCAAAATCACACCATCTTTTCTTGTTAGACTAAGGCAACTATGCGTGGAAAGGTCTTTCTTTCTCTGCCTTCAAACTCTACGGCCAGTTCTATAAAAATAGTTGGAAAATATTAGCATACTTTGCTTGAGAAGTTAGTTATTATTGTCCAGGGTTCATAAACAGTTGAATAACTACAGAGCAGGTACATAGTATAAAGTTAACAAAATTTTAAAGATACAGTGCCTCTCTTTCATGACCATTGTCCATATTTTACTGAATAAGAGTCTTTGAACAATTTATAATACCAAATGCCACAGTGGTACCCTGTACGATGTATTTGTGCTTTTCCTATACCTCCCTTTAGGAAACACAGAATACAGTTTAACTTTATAACCTAAATTAGAAAGTTCAGGCTCTCTCCTCAGGGAAACTAGCAAACCACAATTCATTAGTCTTTTATTGTGGTGTTGGTGTTTTTATTAAAAATTGAATATTACTAGAATTTTATTTTCCTGCTAATCATGTAAAATCAGAATTTTACAGTCTGAAATACAAAATTTTCATAGAATTTTGATGTGGAGTAAAATTTACTCTTAGCTTCTATTACTCTGACCCAGAATAGACAGTAATTTATCCCATGGTGGGAAAAATAGAAAACTGTAGCTTCTTCTCCAAAATACCAAGCCTACCTAGAAAGAAGGCTCCTGTATGGAGTTCCTCAGGAGCAGTCCTTGCAGATGATTGTCCTAGGAAGCCTCTGTGACAATGTATGTGCCTGGGCCCCAGACCAAGAATTAATCAAGACATCCTGTGTTTGCATTTCATCCTTAATGTATCATGGAAAGGGGAGGGATGGTCAGGAATATATGTGTGTGTGTGTGTGTGTGTGTGTGTATATGCGTATATATATATATATATATATATATATATATATATATATATATATGTTTTTTTAATTTTTAAAAACTATTTAATTTTATTTTTTTTAATTGAGGCTACACTTGTACTAAGGGGTACAGAAAAAAGAAAATAAAGTTATTTGACTTTATTTTGAGATGCCTAGTTAACCTCCAGAACTTTTTGAAATTTAGCTTGTTAAAAGAGCTAGTGACTCAACTTGAAAGATAAGTAAGTAACGCCCACCTCATCCTTTGTGCCCAGAATAAAAATGCTTTCAAACCTAGATATTAAGCCTCAAATAGCGAAATACATGGTTTTACCCACATTAAGTTTAGCTAAGTGGGAAACAAACACTTTGTTTTTTTTTATGGACCCATGGTTTTTAGGAATTGAAGGAATAAATGATCCAAAAGAAAAAACTTTTCCTTAGTCTTTTACTACATTATCCATCCTCAGTCAGATGGAGGAATGTTTTGAAATAATTTATTTTGAGTGGGTTTCTTTCTTTTCCCAAGTTTTCTTCCATGATACAGTAGACTTCCATACCTGCCTATGGTTGACCATTAATTTTTCCTATTCTGTTTGGTCGTGCTTTGATTTACTGATCTCTCAACAAATAGTAAACTGTGAAGCATAAAAATAAATATTATCTTAATGAGTACATACTTTTCCAAATGCATCATAATCAAGAACTTAATAAATTCTCTCCAGTATGGCTGAACGAGTCTGGGCCCCGTCTCCCCCAGATGATAGCCCAGTCCAGTCTATAGACTAATCATTTCCCAGAAGCATTTCCCCAAGTTTTTCCTAAGCAGTCAGGGGCCAGAATAGATATATAATCGTATAGCAATTTACATCCTTAGTGTTTATTTCCCACACTGCTGTCACTGGATTCCAGAGTGGCAATGACCCCTTAAGCCATTAGCCTAATAGTGTCTATAGGGCATTCATTGCCTCCTTTTCGTATTAATAGCTGCAATCTGGTGCATTCATTATGAATTCTCAACGTTTGCCTGTCAGTCATGGATATTTAACTGATACAGTTCTTGCAGAGACTTTCAGACTCCCATGAAAAAGATGTAAATATTTTGGTCTTTGTCAACAAACATCGTTACTAAAATCGATACTCCTTTGACAGTAATCTTCCTACCAACTAACCACAGCCTTTTGTAGCTTCTCCAAATTGCCACCAAGAATTGATATAAATAACTTCCATCCCAGAATACTGGGAAATCTTTCATATTTCTCTCATCTTGATTATTGACTTCTTTTAGAATAGACAGAATAGGGTTTTCTTTCATTTTCTTTTGATCTGTATTCTCTGCGGAATATGTGATGGGGATCGTAGGTCAAATGTATGAGGATCAGAGAAGGCTCCTTCAGAGGCTTAATCTGTGACACAAAAAAGGCCCCAGTTCTTTAACTTGGAAAAAAGGAACCCAAACCAGAAGGATTGTAGTTTTCAAATTTGCTTTCTGTTCTTTCAGATTCCCTCCCCAAAACACCATCTGCTACCCATCTGTAGTAATAATGATCTTTACATCTGTAAAATGATTTTCCATTTACACAGCCTTCTCCTATATATTCTTATAATCCTCTGCAGTTAAAGAACTGGAACTTAGAGCTTAATCAACGTGCCCGTGTTCTCAAAGCTAATATCTGGCAGAGCCAGAACTATTAATAGAGCTCAGGTCTTCTGATCCTTAATTTAGAGCTTTTTTCTCTGTGCCCCAACTGCTTTCTCTTCAAAGACAGGAAAAAAGGGTCTCAGGCACATCTCATGCTTTATTTCATGACAAAGGATGGACCAAGCAGAAGTAAATGTTAAAGACCATGTTCTCATTTTCAGCTGCATAATGAGAAGTACTTTTCTGTATTCTTATAATGAATAAGGTCTGGTTTACCTTTTGGTTGTATAAAAGATTGCTGAGGGAAAATAGGAAATGATAAGTATTCTTATTTTTTGTAATTAATATTTCTTGCAAGCTAAATGAAATCTCACAGCTGTTTTTAATAAAGCAGAGTACGCTTGTTGGAATGCCATTGTCTTTGCAGCAAAATTCAAGTTCTAGATTCTTAGGACCAAATAAGACCTTTAAACTGGAAAAGTCTTCTGTGTAAGCTGCTCCACTCAGTTCTTGCTTGGCCCTGTGTCAGATTTAGTAATCTGATTAATAGATAGACAGGAGGAAAGAGGCAGCCTGTATATTATGAAGACCTTTTGTTTTGCAAATGTTCAGGGATGATTCAGACTGGTAGGCAGGTGACTGGTAGGCAGGTAATCCCAACAGTGGCTTAAACAAAAACTTGCCATCAAGGTAGAGAAACCAGTTGGAAAGTATTTGTCAAGAGGCCTTGAGCTTGGCATGTGGCACTTGTAGTACCTTGTTAAGTACCTTGTATATACCTTGATATAACACACTGAGTAACTGACTATGAAGAGATAACATTGCTCTTCCCTGATGTATAAGTGACTTTCTTTCTTCCTTCTTAATTTTGTTTTTTTTAATCCAGCTTCAAACGCTGATTCAGGAGACTGACCCTGGTGCAGATTACCGCATTGATAGAGCTTTGAATGAAGCTTGTGAATCTGTAATACAGACAGCCTGCAAACACATAAGATCGGGAGACCCAATGTAGGTTATCTTGTTTGTGGTATTTATATTGTATTTTATTTGGCAGTGCAGCACAGGGAACATTCCCTCAACATCGTAACTGTAATCTTATTAAACAGTAACACGTACCAACTTTTGTTAAAACTATTATGGAAATTGAGACTCCGGCTCTGCCTCCTCCTTGATGTAAAGACACCTAGATCCAGCGTTGTGATGATGTTTGTTGACAGTGACTAAGCATAGAATGGGCCTATATATTAGGTCATTGAGTAATTCCATTGAATGGTCAAATAAAAATGAGAGAGAGAAACTCTCAGGGTAAAGCGACACCTGCTTTGGCTCCATACTTTTCACCCTGGACTCATATGCATTGGCTACTTGATAATCATTAGAGAGTAATTAATTATAATTGAAATATAAAACAAAATGTGGCGGTCAGAAGGGGTAATCATGGACCAAATGAACTCTGAAGTTGCATCCAAGATCTAGGAAACCTGTACAATGCTATAATGAAGTATTTGAATCTCATGCATTAGTTTTATTCCATATGATATGAAAACAGTTCTTAAAACTAGGTTGCAGGTAAGAACAGGTTTCCCATTCTGCAAAAATCTTTACAGCATACAGCTGGCAGTATCCAACAATAAAATGAATTCAGTCCATGTTTGTCATCATTCTGCTATGCATACACTCCTGCTGCTCGTGCTGTGGCAGGGGATTACAAAAAGGTATTCTTCCTTAAACCTCTGTGTGATTGGAGAAGATAAACAAGCACACTTAAGACTAATCAAGTATATTTACCAATATAAAAACAACTGCATCAACTATAAAGATGGCAACAAATAGGGAGGAAGAAGGGAACTCCTGCAGATGCAAAATAGATTTATGATAACTGTCAATTAAATGCAATGTGTGGACCTTTTTCTGGGTCCTGATTTGAACAAACACTTAAAAAGGCATGAAAGGGCCAGCCGAGTGGCGCGTTCGTTAAGAGCTGGCTTGGGATGCCAGAGGGCCCGGTTCGGATCCCACATATGAGGGCCAGTGACACTGCCCTCTACAGCTAAGATGCTGAACAACAGCTCAACCTGGAGCTGGGCTGCCCGTGAGTCGCCGGCGATGGCGTAGGCTGCAGCCCCTGCTGCAGTGGGCTGCCATGGGCTACCGTGTGTGGCTGGCAGCCAGCAGCCACCGTGAGCGGCCATCCAGAAGCCGGGAAGAGCGCAATGATGGTACCAACTTGGGCCAGTGAAGCAACATCCTCCACAACTAGACTGAAGAACAAAAAGGATAGCAACTTGTCTGTTCCCCTTCCCCCAATTCCCCAGCGCTGTTCCCATCCCCCAATTCCCCAATAAAAATCTTTTTAAAAATTTTTTTTAAATAAAAAATAAAAGGCATGAGATAACTGGAAAATTTGGAAAACTGACAGGATATTACATGATACGGATTTTTAAAAATTAATTTCTTTTGGTAGATAATGCTATTACATTATAGTATAGAGAAATATGCTGAAGTGCCTCTGAATGAAATGATAATGTGGTATCTGGGATTTGCTTCAAAATATCGGCAAGAGGGTATAAAGTTAACACAACCTCAGGTATAGGTTGATCAAGCTATGGGAAGGGAAGGTGGATGTTATAAGATTCTCTCTTTTTGTATGTGTTGGAAATTTTTCATCATCAACAGTTAAAAATAAAGCAGCTGCACACAGATCTTGTGTAAGCTGAGTCCTAAGTGCTAAGTGGCTCTGAGGTTGATAGAAGGCATAATCTCTGTCAGGGTGACTTAATTTGAGTGATTCTCAGAAAAGTAAGTCCCCGACTGACGTAGGAAAATAGCTAAAGGACTTTTTCTACAGACCAAGGAAATACTGATGTGAGATTTCTGAACATGTCAGAACTCTTCTATGTCTTGTTAACCGTTTCCCGTTTTATGCCCAGGATCCTATCGTGCCTGATGGAACATTTATACACGGAGAAGATGGTGGAAGACTGTGAACACCGTCTGTTAGAGCTACAGTATTTCATCTCCCGAGATTGGAAGTGAGTATTTTGAAGCCAGAGTTAAGAGTGAGCCTCAGCCTGTTCTGTGTAGTCAGTATCCCTTGTATTTTTTGAAATAATCAGTAGGAATTTGTTAAGATCTAGAATAGCTGACACACTCCAATCCCCTGAAAAACCTCTTTCTTCCTTTCAGAACAGTTTCTAAAAGCAGAGGCAGCCCCTGCAGGTCTGTCCCCAAGTGTCTCCATTCACTGCTACTTTGGAAGTCAGGGTCATATGTTTCTGATACCACAAATACCTATCTAGAAAGAACTTGAGTCCCTTTGGGACAGAACAAGCATCTTCAGATATGTCTGTAAGAAGATAATAGAGCATTTTTATTTTTATTTTTATTTTTATTGATTGACACTGGATATGGGATTTTACTTTTATTTCTTTAACTATTTAAAGAATTCTATCTTAAGAGGCTCTTATCAGTAAGTGATAATTTGATTCTCTTCTCATTCTGTTAGCAAAAAAATGGCGGGGGGGGGGGCAAGATAGAATAGGACAAGGATCTGTTACCATCAGAGATTTATTGGCTGCAGTCCCCTCTTCTTTCCATGTCATTTTCTCTTCCCACCTCCAAAGCAGCCAGCACCAGATCAGGCTGCTCCTCCTGCTACCCAAGTGCAGCTCCTTCCTGATTTAAGCCACTACTCCTCGGCTATTAACTTCTGGTGATAAGGTTTTACGCTCATACTTTACCAGAAAGATTACTTCAAGAGTCAATGTGCTTCTGTTTCTGTCCCCTCAAATTTGCTCTGGAAGACAACAGAAAGCCAAGTGGGAATTTCCCCGTGTTTACTCAGGCCCTCTAAACGGAAGCAACAAAGAGGTTACTAACTTTACTCCCTTAAGAAAATCATATTTTTTCTCTTCTGTAATCCTTCAGCCATGATCAAAAGATGCTTCACAGGATTAAAAACTGCTCTAAATAAACTTGTTTTATGGCTCAGCCTCTAATTTATCTAGTTTATCTTGCTGACCATTCCTGTTACACTAGAAAAGAATCATATTCTAGGGCTGACCAAGTGGCACATTGGTTAAGAGCTGGCTTGGGACGCCAGCTGTGAGCAGCAGGGTCCCTGTTCAGATCCCACATGAGGGCCAGTGACGCTGCGCCCTCTACAGCTAAGATGGTGAGCAACAGCTTGACCTGGAGCTGAGCTGCCGTGAGTCACCGGCGACAGTGTAGGCTGCAGTGGGGCTGGCCGGCAGCTGGTGTGGGCTTTTGTGAGCCGCAGTGAGCGGCCATCCAGTGGCCAGCGAGAGACTGCCTCACCCAGGAAGAGCGCAATGATAATACCAACATGGGCCAGTGAAGCGACATCCTCCACAACTAGGCTGAAGAACAAAAGGGCAGCGACTTATCTGTTCCCCTTCCCCAACGTTGTTCCTCTCCCCCTCCAATTCCTCAATGAAATCTTAAAAAATTAAAATTAAAAAAAAGAATCATATTCTACAACTTTTGCTTGTAATGATCTATAAATATTCATCAGTTTGAGTTATTGGTCTTCAAATCTTCTATATCTTTACTAATTTTCTATTTTTCTATGAAATATTGGACTCTCCTTAGTTATATATCTGTTTCTTTGTACATTCAGTTCTGTTAGTTTATATTTCCTGTATTTTTTTAAAGTTTTGATAATAAGTTCATGCATATTTAGGTCTATAAGGTCTTTTTTATTATTGATGACTTAACTGTAATAATTTTACTATGAAATGCCTTTCCTTTTAATAATGTACACCCTGAAGACTACTTGGTTTGATATTATATAACTGATTTGTTTTTCCTTTATCCCTCTATGATGGTTAATTTTGTGTGTCAACCTAACTAGATCATGTGGTGCTCAGATATTTGGTCAAAGATTACTCTGGGTGTTTCTGTGAGGAATTTTTGATAAGATTAAAATTTAAATGGGTTAAAAAAAAATCTCTAAATATTAGCCTCTCTCCTCCCATTAAGTAGTCCTCCCCCCAAACTGACATTATCATGTGGACAGAATTAAGCATCCTTGGTCTGATTTGGAGAAGCAGCAGGCTCATTGCCTAATCCACTGTCTCCAGAGTCAAAGTTGAATGTCAGTTTTTTTCAATCGACAAGCACATTTAGGTAAACTAAAATTATAATTGCCTCACCTTGCATGGGAAAAAGAAGAGGAACAGTTTACTAGAAAGGAAGTTGAATGGGAGATTCTGTTTATCTTGCTATTTCCTGATCTTATTGAATCTAGTGTATCAGATAAGTTTGAATTTCATTCATACTTTGAAGAAAGTATTGAGTAAAAAGTTGTGAATCACCTGCTGATTGCTACAACCCTTGTCTTCTCGTCTTAGCCAGGGCGTGTTAGTGTTGGGTCTGTTACTGTCATGTTGTGTGCCTTACACAGCCAGAGTAACATCTTTGAGGTAGAACTTAGCTCTTCTGACTTTGTTAACAAACTTCTACAGACTGGCTACTGTATGTTCATGAAGAACAAATTCAGGAACACATTTTTGCTTACCTGTTGTCTCCACTACCCTAGAGAGGTGACTATCAATCAGTTACACCAGCAAGAACCTTGTAAAAACCCTTAACGTGTGTTAGAAGGAAAGGCATAGTAAAAGTGGTTATCCTTTAACTCCTAACCTTACAGGCTGGACCCTGTCTTATACCGCAAGTGCCAGGGGGATGCATCTCGTCTTTGCCACACCCACGGTTGGAATGAAACCAGTGAAGCTATACCTACCGGAGCTGTGTTCTCTTGCTTATACAGACATGCCTACCGCACTGAGGAACAGGGCAGGAGGGTATGTGTCACTGTTGACTTCATTTCTTCTTACCGTCATTGGTTTTTTAATTAATTTGCTATATGTTGTTCCAATTTCTGTCACCTTAGGAAAACTTTGTTAGTATATCTGGTGGGGAGAGGCTGCTGCACTACTAGAAAATTCTTCATTCAATGAATGTACATAGAGTTGTTCTACCAGCTTCTTTGCACCTGGTTTTATGTTTCTAACAAAGTGAGTCAGGATATGTCCTGTTTTTTCTTTAAACTACCGAAATCTAAATCACAAATAGTTAAATTCTGCTACCCTGACTTTATTTAGTGTTAAAGATCCACTAGAAGCTCTTAGCCAAGATACAAATGGTTTTTAGGCTTCTGCCCTTGGCAGGACCCAGAATGTCTCTATTAAATGAGGCCTCGCTCACAGGACACTCATTGGAGCAGAAACCTCTTGGTATTTGTCTGCACTGATTGCCCCCTCTTTTGGGGCTATTTTGTGTGTGCTTGGCTCTCATGCAACTTTTACTGCCTTCTGGTGCCATACTGACATGCTATTTGCTGTCCAGCGTAGCCTTTTTAAGGTACTCTATTGCTTTTCGGTCCTGCATTTGTCAGAGAATAGAGATGGTATTATTCCACATGCATCTTAACAAATACCCCTTCCGAGCTCAATACAAAAAGTCTAAGTTGAGTATTCAAAATGAGGAGACCCAGGTATAAAGAAATGTCATACTTCAGTTATTGCAGTCTTCACCCAGTTTTTATCCTACCATGTAAGACAATATGGGAATTTATTGTTACTTTTTTCTTCATATGATGAGTCTCTCATTAATCACAAGAGTCCTAAATCCTGGCACCTTGGTAATCACTATAGTAGGAGGTTCCTTGTCTTCTAAATGAAGAAAGAGTTGGAATCTGTCTTTTTAAAAAATTTACTTCTTGGGCCGGCCAAATGGTGCGATGGTTAAGAACTGGTTTGGGATGCCAGAGGGCCCCGGTTCAGATCTCACATATGAGGGCCAGTGACACTGCCCTCTACAGCTAAGATGCTGAACAACAGCTCAACTTGGAGCTCGGCTGCGGTGAGTCGCCGGCAACAGCGTAGGCTGCAACCCCTGCTGCAGTGGGTTGCCATGGGCTACCGTGTGTAGCCAGCGGCCAGCAGCCACAGTGAGCGTCCGTCCAGAAGCCGGCGACTGGCCTGCCTCGCCCGGAAGAGCACAATGATGGTGTCAACTTGGGCCAACGTCCTCCACAACTAGACTGAACAAAATGACAGCAACTTGTCTGTTCCCCTTCCCCCAATTCCCCAGCGCTATTCCAATTCCCCAATTAAAAAAAATCTAAAAAAAAAGAAAATACCAACATGGGCCAGTGAAGCGACGTCCTCCACAACTAGACTGAGGAGCGCAAGGATAGCAACTTGTCTGTTCCCCTCCCCCAATTCCCCAATAAAATCTTTAAAAAAAAAAAAATTAAGGTGAAATTCATAGAACATTACTATTTTAAAGAGAAAAATTCAATGGCATTTAGTACATTGACAGAGTTGTGCAACCACCACCTCTGTCTGCTTCCAAAACATTTCGGTGTCTCCAGAAGGAAACCCCATGCCCATTAGGCAGTTACTCTCCATCAACCTCCCCCTCCCTCAGGTGTGTGGGTCCTTTGAGGAAGGGAAATTAACTGTACCTGTCAATGACAGCTTTCTCACAATCCTTCCAAAAATGTTAGTTTTCACCTGTTTCACCCTCTGATAATTCTTTCTAACTCATCTAAAAAAGCCTGGTTCTGACTTACGTTAAACTGTTGCTTCTACTGTTGCCTGCTTATTCTGAGTTTAGGTAAATTCGAACTCCGTTCTCCTGACTCATGTGTATTCTCTCCTGAATTGGACCCAGCATTGTACTCTACATTCATGGAGTAGTAGCAAACTAATTTTGCTAAACAAAAAACTCTCTAACCTAATCTGAACAAATGCAGTTCACTTTTTCAGAATATTCTGAGAAAAGAATATTATTTCATATAGTATATTAAAATATGCCAAAGGTATAATCTCATTCCAAGAGACATGGGTTTTTAGAAGCCTCCTAGAACATTTCATTCTTATTCTGGAAGAGATTCAAGGCATAAAGTTATTTATAAGTTTCCTGACATTCTCTAGTATCTTTTGTTTTGGTTTTGGTCCCTTTGAAGTATTTTGCTTGTCCTTTCTCGTGTAGCTGTCGCGGGAGTGCCGGGCTGAAGTCCAGAGGATCCTGCACCAGCGTGCCATGGATGTGAAGCTGGACCCTGCCCTCCAGGATAAGTGCCTGATCGATCTGGGGAAATGGTGCAGTGAAAAAACAGAGACCGGACAGGTAGGTGACATAGCTGCCTGTTTATCTTACAATAATTATAATAATAATGTTCATGGTTAACATTTTACAGAGAGTACAAAACCCCATAAGATCCATCTCTGTTTATTTCACAGATATGATGTATTATATTATTTGATGTTCTTGCCATTAGAAATCCTTAGGGAGTTTTTCTCTTTGGACTCTATATCAGGAATAATTGTATTTTTCCTAAGCAGTTTGTTTTTATATTATGGTTACTGTATTTTGTAATTGATCCTTTCCCCTCTTTGTGTTACCTCCGGAAAGCCCAGAGCCAAAGGCATGGCCGCCTGTAGCAAGTATGTCAGACCTTATGGTCGGCATTTTGTGTACTAACGTACCACGACTGACGCCATCCCACTTTTGTTAACATGTTTTCCTTTTCTTTCCTCTTTTTACTCATTTTTAATTCATTTTATCTTGCCTTTTTCTTTTCGCACTTTTATAAGCCCCATTAAACACCTCTGAGGGAAGGCAAAGTATACATATACATATGTATATAAATACTGGTGTGCAGGCCCTACAGCAGTCCTGTAAGATAAGTAAGAATAGAATTATTTTATTTTTTTCCATCTCGTAATTAACAAAACTAAGGCTCAGAGACGTGAAGTGTATTGACTTCCTTACCCAAAACTCAGGTCTAATCCTAGCCAGGCATTCGTTCAATTATATTATAACCTTTCCATACAGGAAAGTGCAGAGAAGGGGCAGCCCCCAAGAATTACATGCATGCCATGAATGGTTCCTTAGGATTTTATGCCTAGTTTTGTTTTAAAAAAAAAAGGAGGAGGAGGCGGAGAAGATACATTACTGCATTCTAGCAAATTAAGTAGAAGGGTAGCTTGTCTTCTATTTTAAGGCAGGAAACCAAGCTACTTGTTGAAATCCCCATTAGTACTAGAACAAGGCATGACCCTGGTTTCCCAGTTCCATTTGCACTACTCCAAAACACCCTCTGGGATTAAACTATTAAAAAGTGACATGTGCAAGAATTGGACATTTTTAAGAAACAACATGGCTGCCTACACAGATCTATTGGGCCTGGAAATACCATTTTCATCAGTTTGCTTCCTGGGCCTGCTGCAGTTCTGTCGAGTTTATTGTTAGAAAATGCCTATTGTTCTGCTTTCTGCTGCCTCTGTGGAATTAAACAAGTGATGTGGCCATACCAAATCCTAGAAAACAGTTTCCTTTCCTACCCCCTGTATAGTAACACTGAGAAAGCTGCACTACATTGCAGCCTATCGCTGTGAAGCTAAACTAAGGAAAGGAGTCTGTGAATGGGATTTTTCCCTTAGCCATTTGTCTTACTCCCAGAAGGTTTGTGCATTTTCCTTTAGAGTTGTACAATTTCTACAACCCTTTTCCTTCCTTCCCATTCTAATTGCAAAACAGATTCTTGCAGAATTGTCAGTAAGTTAAAATTGATCTGGTAACAGAGCTCTTTGATGAGAATTAGCTGTTGTGCTTTCAGAAGGTGAGCTGATGTTACACTTAAAAACCTCTAAATCTCTAAGAGAAATAGTAATAGACTGATGCTACAAGGTAGCTCCAGCTCAGTTTTGAAAGCCCAGATGAGATAGTTTTTACATAGCCCAACCCTGGCGTGCTCACTTGTTTTGCAGTTTCCCTCAGAGGATCCTTGTATATGGGCTAGGGTTGGAATCCCGATTTGACTTGCAGGAACTATCAGTTCTGTGCTGTGTTTAAGATCCTGGGTCCCAACGTACTTTTCCCATAAAGAGCCTTAAAATACTGTATGTCTTTCACTGTTAATTTGTTGTCCAGTGATCATTATCAAAATACAGGTTTAAAATGTGAGGCAAAGACTATCAAAACACAGGGAAACACTGGAACGGCAGCGTGTCGATGGAATGGAATAAAGGCCTGATAAGATTCTTAGGCTCTGAGGACGCCTGAACATTGATTCTTGTTGCACTTCTCAGCGTGGCCTTCCAGAGGATTTGCATGGCTCTTGTACCCTCTTGACCCTCTTAATCACCCTATTACATCAATTAATTATCTTTTAAACCATCCCAATTTGGGAAGTCAAATAAAGCTTTAGTGTTCTGTTCAGTGAAGTCATTTTAAAAAGAAAAAAGGAGGAGGACCACTGAAAAGGAAGTAGATACTGTTATCTCAGTTTCCCTTGATCATCTGTATCACTGACCAATGCCAAGGGATTGCCTTTTTATTTGCAGGAGCTTGAGTGCCTCCAGGACCATCTGGATGACTTGGCTGTAGAGTGCAGAGATATAGTCAGCAACCTCACCGAGTTAGAATCTGAGGTAAGCAGCTTGCAGCTCATAAAAGGGAGAGTGCCCTGTCAGCAGCCTTTCCTTTTCTCTTGGTTCTACTGTTTTTAGACTCCTGAGAGCACAGATTCTCTGTAAAACAGAGGAAACCTCGTCAGATTTTACCTGTTTGCTTTATAAAGAAGAATGTTATGATGTTTCCTGAACACCTTTCCTCATTTCTCCAGTAAAACGCTCTATACATTTAGCCCTTTGGTTTTCTTCATAAATTAGAATTAGCACAGTGATTAGACCAATCTTTTTCCCCCTTTAAGAAAAGATAGCAACTATACTTTAAATCTTCTAATCACATTCAAGAATAACCTAATTAAGCATTCCTATTTCTTACCTTTAGCTCTTTCAATTAGGTTATTTGTTAATGTTTGTATGTTTAATAAAATAAAGCCTGGGACATCCAGTTAAACATGGAAGATGGAATACATGTGTTTATCCCTGTTCCATCCTGAAACCCACTAAAACATAAAAAAATAAAAGTAAAAAACCTCATAAGCATAGGCATATTATTTAGAAATACAGACATTATTACTGAGGAGGAGGCAGCTAAAATTGTTCAAATTGGCTTGTGGGGGCAGAAATCAGGGAAACAGGGAATTGCTTTTTTTTTTTATCGTAAGCCTTTTAGAACAATTTGAATTGTCAAAATTGGCAGTACATAAAATGACATTTCTCAGCCAGTCTTTTTTTGGTTCTTTTTTTTTCTTCTTCTTTCTTTCTGTTTTTTCAAAAGTTTATTGCCTTCTTTCATCTTCTGTCATCTCCTCTCTCCCATTCTCATTGTCCCTGTGGGCTTATGAGGACATCCTGGGGTGTGTAACTCTTTAAAGGAAGATGTTATTTCAGCAGTTAGTGCTGCACAGGGGTTACTCTCTGCTTAAAGGCATTTAGTGTATGTTCCCCAGAGGTAGTGGTTTATCATTTGGTTTGAGGACAATGATCTGATTTAGGAGCTTATAAACTAAAAATAGATGTCAGTTATCCCAATGTTCATTTTGAACTGCTCAGCTTTTTGGAAAAACTTGAAAGGCTTTATATACTCTAGTATTGTTGTTAAATGTTTTTTTCTCCCCACTGTTCTTAATTCTGCATCTGCTTCTAGAAAATTTGCCTTTCAAAGTGTAGTGGAGGTGCAGGTCTATCTATGCTGGGGCTATCTAACTTACATTAGTTTCCTAATGTACATATTAGATTATTTGCCCATCAGGTGCTAGAGAAAGAAAATGCTCTTATCTCCACCTCTGGTTCTTTCTAAGGCAGAATTAATATATTCAATCTTCTACAGGATATTCAAATAGAAGCCTTGCTGATGAGAGCCTGTGAACCCATAATTCAGAACTTTTGCCACGTAAGTGATGTCTGGAGAAACGAGGATTAGAAATAGAACCAAATTTACTGGGACTCTGCCCCACAAATGTGTTGGACTCATCTCTGTCTTCAGCATACGTTACTCCTGAGTGATAGTCAACTTTGAGAAGTTAAAAATGTAAACAGAATCAAGAGGAGTGCCACCATCCTGGGAAAACTTTATTTGATTATCCTTTGTAGGTACCCAGATATGTGGTTAGCAACAGTTGTTGCAATGCCCTTTATAAGAGAAGAGGGAGGGGGGAATCCTCCATTAGCATAGCTAAGTGGCTTCCAATACATCAGCCCAGGATTTGTTAGCAGTAATAGTGGCTTCCCCTTCCAACTCTCTCCTTGTACTTCGATATTGAGTAATGAGTGAATTCTATTACTTTATTCACTTATTGAACTATCTAAATTGTGGGACCAACACACACCCAGGAACCATGAGGATCTGACAAACAGGAAGCAGTGTTAGATGTTATCCAGCTGCCAGCATCACATGAGGAAAGGAGTAAAAGCACAGCATAGCACACGTTCTTGCTGGAGCCTCATGCAGGGCAACGTGTGTGTATATGTTATTCCCCAAATGTTTATCCCTTATAGTTTCTCAGTCTTATTTTGACATGTTTTGTACCTTGTTTGCGAAGGCTCTAGAATCAGTCTTGGTTGCATTTTTCATGGACTGGGGTGCAAGATTTGCTCATTAATTGTTACAGATGAAGGATAAATTTGCTTTTTCTTCCCCAGGATGTGGCAGATAACCAGATAGACTCTGGGGACCTGATGGAGTGTCTGATACAGAACAAACACCAGAAGGACATGAATGAGAAGTGCGCCATTGGAGTCACCCACTTCCAGCTGGTCAGTAACACCTGGCAGATTCTTCCTGGCTTGGCTGCTTGGATGGTTACTGAATCTCTTCCTATCTCAGAACCCCAGAGCACCTCCTGTGAACAGTCATTATTTTCCACATATATGTCTTATTTTGATTTGTTCTCAAGAAATGTGGTTTTTATCTGCTATGGCCAGACACTTTGTTAGGCTCCTGGAAATGCAGTGATAAAATCAGACATAGTTCATACCCTTAGGGAGCATGCACTCCAGTGCGGATAGAGACAGGTAAATGGGCATTGCCTACTTCAGGAGCGCCACTTGCTTTGATAAGGTATTTTAGCCTTTCCTTTTACAGTAACAGTGGGATCTGCTGTTTTGTGTTGCTGTTCATTGCAATGGCCCAAATATGTATCAATACACTGGACTCTAAGCCTTTTTTTCTTTTAAATCATACTACCCAGGCCTGGCATTTCAATTAGAAGGTTAAACAATGCTCTTCATAATTACCACCTGTCTAAAGAAATGTTTTTGGTAAAGCAAGCACTTCCTTCCAGGAGGACAAAATCCAGGCATCTGTGTAAAATTGCCCTTTTCTTGGGGCATATAGCCTTTAACAAATGGTATTGAGGGCCTCCAGAGTGCGGGCACCAGGAGACAGTGGTGGAACAGACAAATCCTGCCCTGTAGACAACGTTCTAGTAAGAAAAAGACACAGAACACGTTTACAAGTAAATATAGTCTCAGGCGGGCCTATGAAGAAAAATAAAGCAATGGAAGGGCTGGCAGGAGAAGAAGAAAAGGGACTTCAGATGGAGGTATTTGAATAGAAATGCAAGGAAGTGACGGAACAAACCATGGAGAGATCTGGGCAAAAGGGGGGCTTCTTGGCTGAGGGAGCAGCACGTGTGTGATTGGAATGGCAAGGAACTGGTGTGCCTGAAGCAGAGGGAGGAGTGGGGAGGTTGGCAGGTCATGAAGCCTGAGAGGGACAGGGCAACTCATGCAGGGCCCGGAAAACAGGCTTCTGCACACCATAGGAACACGGTATCAGCCAGCCCTGCTGGGTAGAACTTGCCACAGAGCTTCTGATCTTCTTTCTCACCATCATTTTTAGGTGCAGATGAAGGATTTTCGGTTCTCTTACAAGTTTAAAATGGCCTGCAAGGAGGACGTGTTGAAACTTTGCCCCAACATAAAGAAGAAGTATGTAGCTTTCAGTTGGTTTCATTCTGCTTCTCTGAAGTTTCTCTTAGCTACTGAACAGATAGCCAGGGTGTCCGGCGGCCTCCTGCTGTCTGGCAGGATTAGCCCTGGGGGGCCTCCGGCGCACTCTGTGGTTGTGTGGCCAAACACTTGGGTTGTCTGGACATCATCTTCATAGCTGCTGAAAACCACAACTGGTGCTGGTAGTTCTGATACGGAAAGCCTATAGGCTAAAGGGGCATTTTTAATTTTTCCAGGTTCAGGCTATGTAACTGATGGAGCAGATACAGATTGTGTACTTAGAGCAGCAAGTTGCAGTGTGAATACAGGAGGTTAGCTGACTTCCTCCCAACATAATTCTATATGTCATCTCTTCAGGGATGGAGCAGAGGCCTTACTGAGTTAGAGACCTAGTGATGAAACAAAAACTTTATTCGTTTAGGAATAACATCTTAAATGAGGAGAGTGATGAGCTTTTATTAGCATGGCCGCCCAAATCCTTCCATGTCACTCTTTGCAAAGGCATGTTTCTAGAATACATTTCCTCTCATGTTTAACAAGTTCCCATTTTGCTCAGGTTTCTGTACTTTTCAGGAATGAGTTTCACACTACATCAAAGACACAGTCCGGAGATAAGAGCTGCATTCCTCTCTGGTCACTTGTTTTTAACAAAACAAGTATTGAACTGTCCTTGCACACATGTCACCTCCCCGGCCTCCCTGCCAATCAGGAATAGAGTCAGCATTCGGGCTGTGACTGACTTCTATGACATACACAGTCAAATTGCTGCTTTTAGAGCTGTCAACACACAGGGAGACTTACAGGAAAGACATTCAAAAGCCTGGTAAAGGGGGTCATGAGTTCTGGGAGGTGGTGCTGCCCCTGCCCCAGCCCCGCTCTCGACCACCGGCCCTCGTGTGGCTCCAGCCAGTCTCAGGCCTTCTCCTTTCCTTGGCAGAGTGGACGTGGTGATCTGTCTGAGTACTACCGTGCGCAACGACACTCTACAGGAAGCCAAGGAGCACAGGGTGTCCCTCAAGTGCCGCAAGCAGCTGCGGGTGGAGGAGCTGGAGATGGTAATGCCTCGCACCACAGCCTCCCGGCCCAAAAACCCCCGGGACAGGGACCAGAACGTTGGGTGAGGGCAGGGAGCCAATTGAACAAGAGAGTTTTTACCCCGCGTTACTGGAAGTCCAGAGTACGACAAGCTGTAACCATGCGATGTAATCATTGCATCGGCAGTGTCCTCAAGGATCAAGGCTCTCTCCCTTCTCACTCTCTGTGCTTGCACCAGCTTCATCCTAAAGCCGGTTTCCCTCATGATGGCTGCCTGCAACAACTGGGCCCCTTTGCTCCAAAATCAATCTGAGGCAGGGGAATGAAAACAAGAGAAACCTCCCCATGAAAAACAGATCCTTCCCTTCAATTTGATTGTGTCAGTTTGAGATGTGTGCCCACTCCCTGGCCAACAGCAGTCTCCAGCGGAGTGCCGTGCACTGACGAGCTGACTGATCATTGAGGTGAAATGGATATTGGGAAGTCAGCCACAGTGTGCACGACGAGGGGAAACTTACTGGAGGTTAAACCCAAACCATGTTAAAAAAAACAGCTAAAAATATTTTTAATATGTTTTGTATTGTGAATCACATTTATTTCATCTCAGTCTAAGCAAAAATTAGTAACAAACACCAAACACCATTAATATCGCAAAAGTGGCATTACCAGATTTTCACATGCAGTGGTAGTGATTCAGTGATAATTATGTTTAAGTGGAGCTGGCCTAATTGTCCTATTATAATTGAGACTTTGGGTCCCTAGCTTTGAACCTAGCTTTCAGTTAAATAATAATAAAAGTAGAACCCTACATTTATATAATGGCTTTAACTTTCTATAGTGGTTTCCACATCATATTATTTCATCTCACAGCAGTCCTATGAAAGGGTCGGCATAGATGGTAGCATTTCATTGTGCAAAGAAAGCCTAAGGCCGTGTTGCTAGTGGCAGAACTAAAACTAAATCCCAGTTCTCCTTTTACTGCAGTGGCCACACGACTGCCACTTTGTTGTGTAGAAGTTGTGATTACTAGACAAGATCCAGTCAACAAATAAGTGTGTAGAATATTTGACATCTGCAGCTTAAAATAACCCCCCTTTTCCATGCTGGTTCCTTCTCATGCAGACAGAAGACATCCGTCTGGAACCAGATCTGTATGAGGCCTGCAAGAGTGACATCAAGAATTACTGTTCCACGGTGCAATATGGCAATGCCCAGGTAACTTCGTGTTGTTATTTTTTTAATTGTAAAAGTAATGTTAAGGTAACACTTTAATAATTAATTCTTTGCTGGTGGAATAGGCCTCATCACATCCTATCCAGCCTAATCATCCCCTCTTAAGCTCCACCAGACTTTTTCCAAAGTTCTTCACCTGCATTCCTCGTTGTCTCCTATTTATTCTCTTCCCTCTTTCAGATTACCTTGTCCACCTAATAACCTTGTCGTGGTCCTTCAAATGCCTCCTTCTCTCTATAGCTTTCCCAACACTCTGCACCTCTAAAATTATTCCCTCACTATGTTCCAATTGCACAGAGGTTCTTAACTAAAGGTCACACAAGTATCACCTAGGAAACTTTTTTAAATACATGGAATGGGGCCCTACCCAGAATCATCAGGAATGAAGTACAAGCAAGTGACTTTTTATTTATTTATTTTTTTAATGTTCTCCCAGTGATTCAGCTCCCTCTTCTAGTTCAGGGCACTCTCACAGTGCTCTCCTGTGAGGTAATGTCTTCATTGTCTTCTTGTATCTACTGTTGCTGATGCAAAGTCTTATGTCAATCTGATTCTCATACTTGTGTAGTGACGCTATCTCTTCATTTTCTCCTTATCATTAATAATCTGTAATTTCACTTTGGTGTAATTAGATATGAGTTTTTTATTTCTTTATTCTGGTTGTCTCTTTAAGTCTCAGAATTCATGTCTTCAGTTTTCATTTTGAAGATCTATAATTGGTTCTTTTTGTAACTATCTGTTCTTAATTTTATTTATTTTATTTTTTATTTTTTTTAAGATTTTATTGGGGAATTGGAGGAGGGCAACAAACAAGTTGCTGTCCTTTTGTTCTTCAGTCTAGTTGTGGAAGACGTCACTTCATTGGCCCATGTTGGTATTATTGTGCTCTTCCTGGGTTAGGCAGTCGCTCACTGGCCATCGGACAGCCGCTCACAGCGGCTCACAGCAGCTCACGCTGGCTGCCAGCAACTCATGGTAGCTCACAGCAGCCTACTTCAGCAGGGGCTACAGCCTACTCCGTTGCCGGCAACTCACGGCAGCCCAGCTCCAGGTCGAGCTGTTGTTTACCATCTTAGCTGTAGAGGGCATAGCTAAGGGTCCTCTTGTGGGATCCAAACCGGGGCCCTGCTGCTCAAAGCTGGCGTCCCAAGCCAACTCTTAACCAATGCTCCACTTGGCCGGCCCAACCTGTTCTTAATTCTTGTTTACCATTTCCTTCTTTATTGTTCTGAGGATATTAAATACATGTTTTAATTATTCGATTACCTTTTGTCCTCAGATATTTGGTGATTTTTGGTTGTTCCGTGAGGATTTCATAGCCAACTTGCGACTATGCAACAGCCCTAACAACTACAGCTTCCCATCTGCTTTCCTTCTTTATCATTACAGATGGTATAGGGAAGGGGAGATTTCAGGATATACTTAATTCACTATCTTAAAATCTATCCTATAGCACTTTATGCTTGTTTCCACTCATCTTTTTTATTGTAGTTAAGTGTTTATATACGTTTGCTCTATGAGACTGTATTTATCAGGGGTAAGACTGGGTCTACTTTATACCTGGTATCTAATGCAGCATTCTCATGTGGTAAGTGGTGAGATGAACTGATCGTCCTAGCATGTGTCTACTGTCTAGTCAGGGTTATCACTCCAGGGAAGGTCAGAGAGCCTCAGGTGTGCTCCAAAAGGAATCTTGACAAAGAACAGCTGTAGAAGGCGGAAGAAACCAGGAATCCTGAGATGGTTTCCTTCCCTTTAGAGTCTAGTGCAGCCTGCTATTCATCCATTACTTGTATTCAGCTTCATTTGCTATTAGCTCTGAAGTTGGTCTATAAATATAATTCTCCTTGGGGAGGAGAACCTGATTCCTATTACCTAGGAATTAGAAATGGAAGATACTTGGATAGAAAAATGGGAGATGCACTAAAATCTGAATGCTTCAGTGAAAATACATGGATTATCAATCCCAGATACACCCCTTAACTTGACCATAACTCTTGCACCTTAGATTATTGAATGTCTGAAAGAAAACAAGAAGCAGCTAAGTACCCGTTGCCACCAGAAAGTTTTTAAGCTGCAGGAGACAGAGATGATGGATCCAGAACTGGATTATACGCTCATGAGAGTCTGCAAGCAGATGATAAAGGTAAGGGGTCCAAAGCCAAGGGCTGAGCACAGGGTAAGTAAAATTAACAGCATAAATTTCTTTAATTGTGAGAACATTCATGTAATCTTCCCATTTCAGCCTCTTTATACAGCTAAGATGTAATTCTCAAAGTCTGGGCCCAAAGCAGCAGCAGTAGCCTACCTAGGAACCTACAAATTCTCGGGCTGTACCCCAGACCTACTGAATCAGAAACTCTAGGAGTGGAGTTTAACAAGCCCTCCAGTGGATTTTGATGCATGCTCAAGTTTGAGTACCACTGAGCTGAGATAACTGACCTCACTTTGACCTGAGCTACCAGTAAATAGGTGTCCAATGAATATATGATAGACTGTTGGGACAATTAGTTGTTGTCTACTGAGAAAACCACCATCAGATGTCCTGATCATCTCCCACAATCAAAAGGCTTGTCTGCTCTCAAAGTTCTTTTGCTTTATTCACTTCTGCAGTGAACATTCTGCAGGAGGGCTGACAATAACCGAGGTATCAGGCGCTGGGTCAATCCGTATATACAGACATTAAACTTAATGTTCTGACCCCTTATTTCAGTTTCCCTTTAAAATAAAATGCTACTTTTCACCCTATCAAATAAATTCCAAAGAGAATTATGGAAATTAGAAGTCTTTTTAGCTGGGCCTGGTAGAATTGAGTCCTCTACAAAAGTGGAAATGTCAAGCTTTGATTTGAGGGAACTTTTTGAGTTAAGATTTTGATGACTTTTATAAAAAAATCAATCAGCAATCCACATCCCCATATTAAGATGTCAGTAGACTACCATTAGCAGATAGAAATGGAGTTTATTACTCGTCAAAAATTGAGCTCTGACTTCAAAGACACTAACAAGTATATCGGGGCTAGCCCTGTGGTTAAGGGATGAATCAGACGGGTCCTTTCCACACATCCCTGTTCACGTTGATTAATGGGTAATTCCTAAGTCTCCCATTGGGATGGAGTAAATAGGGCTTCACAGCTACATGGCCATCAATGAATAACAATGAATATTGTTATATTCATGCTTAAATAATATCTAAGCTCATGAGATGCCCTGGAATATAACATAGTATGAATGTAGGGAATCAATGCTACACAAAGTAGGAAACAGGTGAGAGAAAGAAGTATGAGAACTACAGTAGAGAATAGGTAAAGAACTACAGTAGAGATTGAGGCTGAGTTCTTATGCAGGCTTAGTGTTTCTCTCATACCAAGTGATACCTTCAGGCTGCTTCTGTCATAAGCTCCTCAATAAGAGTGATACAGATAGTGTTAATTGCCATATTTGGATAGGTTTTTTTTTAAAGATTTAATTGGGGAGTTGGGGGAGGGGAACAGCAAGTTGCTGTCCTTTTGTTCTTCCGTCTAGTTGTGGAGGACGTAGCTTCACTGGCCCATGTTGGTGTTATCATTGCGCTCTTCGGCCATTGGACGGCAGTTGCTCACCTGCCATTGGACGGCTGCTCACGGGGCCCTTGGTAGCTCACACCAGCTGCTGGCCACTCACAGTAGCTTTACAGCCGCCCACTGCAGCCTAAGCCGTCGCCGGCGACTCTCGGCAGCCCAACTCCAGGTCGAGCTGTTCACCATCTTAGCTGTAGAGGATGCAGCATCACTGGCCCTAATGTGCGATCTGAACTGGGGCCCTGCTGCTCAGAGCTGGCGTCCCAAGTCAGCTCTTAACTAACGCGCCACTCGGCTGGCCCTTGATAGCTTTTTTTTATAAAACTTTGATTCTTTGCAGAGGTTCTGTCCAGAAGCAGATTCCAAAACCATGCTGCAGTGCTTGAAGCAAAATAAAAACAGTGAATTGATGGATCCCAAATGCAAACAGATGATAACCAAGCGCCAGATCACCCAGAACACAGGTAACATCTCGGCTTGGCTTTCCTGGTGCCACACTTAAATAGAGTTAAGTGGAATGTACTTACTTAATTGAACTATAGGCGTTTTGTTGCTTGTGAATTTTAAGGGAGAGCCTGGATGTAAGCAAAATGACTTCTTCCTTGAATAGTATCCAAAAGAAGAGAATGAAAGTCATGGGAAAGAGACTGAAAAAATAGAAAATTGCTTTAAAGGGCGTACAAAAGGAATCAGGGCTAGGGTTCTTGAAAATTATAGAGATTTAATAAAACTTCTTGCATGTAGCAGGACAATATATAGGTAATCTGTTTTAGAACAGAGAAATTTCATCTCTGAGTTGCAAGACCTTGTACTCAATGGGCAAGGTGAGTTGGCTATTTTGTTCTCAGTATTTCCTGAATAGCTGGTATGGGAAAGGTTGCTGATGTCTGCTTGATTTTTGTGAGGACTGCATAGAATATTGGTCTCACAAGACCCTGCAGAGCTGCTACAGATTAGAAGGATTCCTAAGGGTCACCACATCTACTCTTTCACCTAATTTGATTACAGACAATACGGTGAGGGCTCAGTAAACATGTAGCGAATAAACACATCAGTGGTTTATTTGTGGTCATTGATTTAATAACTCCTCTTTTTGGAAAGTGGATCTCTAAAAATTTATGAATCCAGTTGGAATATGTTATCATGTACTTATTTTCTGCTCTAGATTACCGCTTAAACCCTGTGCTGAGGAAAGCCTGTAAAGCTGACATTCCTAAATTCTGTCACGGAATCCTGACTAAGGCCAAGGATGATTCGGAGCTAGAAGGTCAAGTCATCTCTTGCCTCAAGCTGAGATATGCTGACCAGGTAAACTGGCCTGGGCTCTCTACAGGGGCTTAAGTGTGGAGCCACCGCTCTGCCTGGCAGTTTTTACTTCGGAAGTCCTTAACTTGCCCCTGCTTTCCCAAAGCCTTTTTCATCCTTGCCCCAAGCTAGGGGCCAGATAAAAAGTTGACGTTGTCTAATAGGCTGACATATTTTCCTTTTATCACATGTAGCGCCTCTCTTCAGACTGTGAAGACCAGATCCGGATTATTATCCAGGAGTCAGCTCTGGATTACCGACTCGATCCTCAGCTTCAGCTACACTGCTCAGATGAGGTAGGATTTGGGTATGGAACTGGTTGTGAACCGAGCTGGTCTGAGACGTTTTTGTTGGAGAACAGTTCTTTCCCTAAGCCCTGACTCCAGGGTTAATTGAAGGCCCATCTTCTAGGCTCTCCATTGTCTGAATTCCTGATTCTCTGTAACACTGAATTAGACTTGACACAGGTTCTGTTACTATACAATGTTGGTTCCATGTTTCTCTACTGAACAAGAGCATTCTCTTATCTACTTATGGTTTGTTCTTCCCTTCTCCTTATTCTGATGGTCAACCCAGAACACCCCCCCAAGACTTGGCAGAAAGATAGAATTGCTCCCATAATAGCTGTAAAGAAGTGCCTGTCCTTGGAAATTATTTGACCTCCCAGCTAGGAAAGACCATGTGGAGAAGCTTGTTCAACAAAAATGAACTTTTGGGGATCATGGTTAAAAATATTTCAGAAAGCTTACTCAGAGCTGTTCAAAGAAGGTTAAATTTTTAGTCTGTGTTGCAGACTATGTTTCAGGATGTGCGCGTGTGTGTGTGTGTGTGTGTGTGTGTGTGTGTGTGTGTGTGTGTGTGTGTGTGTTTCTAAGTTGTGAGCTTGGGTTGACCCTGAACCTCCTTAAATGTCAAACATTTGCTTTTAGTATTTTACTCTTGGTTATAAAATCTTCCTCCTATGGAATCGGGGAGTAGCCTTCTTCGTGACCAGTTCTGGAATTATCTGACTCAAGTTTCAGGATTGACAGCATAAAGATACATGCACTGAGTGGCTTTCAACTCTGTATGCCAGTCCTTATGAAGGAAAATGGAGCTTGGCTTCTCACTCTGGAGGGAGGGAAGTGAAATCCACCGGAAATCTGTTTGAGAAGAGCCCCGAGCGCTTGTATGGGACGATCACTATATAGGCATGTTTCAGTGACAAAGGTTCCTGGTGAGAGCAGGGTGGCCTTGTTTTTTGTGTGTCTCCTGAACAGATCTCCAATCTATGTGCCGAGGAAGCAGCAGCCCAGGAGCAGACAGGTCAAGTAGAGGAGTGTCTCAAGGTTAACCTGCTCAAAATCAAAACAGAAATGTGTAAAAAGGTAACCACCATCAATCACCATTTTTCCCCCATTTCCTTTTCTCTCCTCTTTTCCTTTTTATTTTTAATACTATAGTCTGCATTTTTCATCATAAAAATCTAAACCTTCCCAGAATTCTATGCTGTTCCCTCTTACCAAAATTTAGTTTGGTTCTTGACCATGAATCGCCTGTGACTTAAATATTCTTTCATGTGTGCTAATTATTTGTGAATGTCTCATTTCCATGACTAGACCATTGTTTAAAGGGCACTCTGAATGCAATACCAAAGCCAAATGTTAATTCCAATATTATCATTAAGTGTACTACTGCATTCATAAAAATCAATGAAACTAAAAATTTAATTCATTTCAGAAACATCAATAAAAACAAATTTATCAAAATATGACAGCTAAGCATACATTATCTTACAAAATTGAAAATTAAATAATATATTTGATCTTTTTTAAAAAAGCTTTTATCTTTTTTTGAAAAGTGTTTAGTGATGTCATTGTTGAGTCAATGTGAATACTGTATGCAAATATTTTCATCTGCTAGAAATATTTCTAATTTCTCATGACCTGAGTTCACTAAATGCTAAATCTAAATATTTTCCTTTGTCATCAAATGGTCCCATCTTACTGAGGAGGACTTTTTGAACAATATTTGAGTATTGTTTTGGGAAGATTTTTCATTGTTGTTGTTTTACAGGGACTACAATCTTTGTATTGAGAGCAAATTAATTTGTATTTAAGAAAGTATTTCCAGCCTGTCTTTACTTCCTATAATTTCATCATGTATAATTGGAGGGTCTGCAGAGTTGGTTTCAGCTCTGTTATGTTTATATGTCTCTTGTTCAGGACCTTTTTAAACTCAAATAAGAATTATTCTTGCAGTAGCATTATGCTCTTGTCAATTCTTTTTACCTTTTGAGGATAATGAAGGTAAAGTGAAACATTTTTGCAGATATTTACCTTTGGGAATTTTCATATAGCATATTACTCTGATTTTCAAATTTCGCATTTTCAGGACTTCTTAAAGTAACAAAATAACTGTCACACTAGCATTTAGTATTTAATACCAGAATGTCAAAAACCCAAATCTCATCTTACAATCACCTGCTTTGCTTAGCAAACAGCTTTGCATATACCAGCTCCCCAAGTGTATTTATTGAATTAAACTAAATGCTAAAAACCTGTATTCTTTGCATCATCACCACATTGCTGCCTATCTCAGAATAGGCTCTGTTGTTTTTCGGGTTTTGTTTTTTGGGTTTTTTTTGGAGTAGGCTCTATTGTTAACCCTAAACCTTCCCACCTTGACTTTTTTGTTGGTATCTAAAGTATTTGCAGACAGCAGACCTGAAGCATTTCCTCTATAAAAGCTCTCTCTGTGATGACCTTCCCTTTCTAGGAAGTGTTAAACATGCTGAAGGAAAGCAAAGCAGACATCTTTGTGGACCCAGTTCTTCATACAGCTTGTGCCCTGGACATCAAACACCACTGTGCTGCCATAACCCCCGGCCGAGGACGTCGTAAGTCACAGCGTTCACTATGACCCTGTCTGAGCTGTCCTGGGTGGAGTAGACTCCCTCTGAGACATCAGTTGCAGCTACTCTGTTCTGTAGCTGCAGTTCAACCACAGACAACATAACTCTGGGAGCTTGGCTGATGCTGGAACCAGGCCTTTGTGGCCAAATGAACTTAGGAGTAATCCTGCAAGTTTGAGCTGACCTAGCTGTGACCTATCAGGGAAGCATAAGTTAAGCCATCATATGGCCCTCTCCCCCAGCTTGCCTAACCTAGAACAGCTTTATCAGCTTCCCCTCTGGCCACATTGGGCTCAATACACAGGTTCTATGTGAGGTAGAACCTGGGCAGGTGTAAAGTTGTTTCTGAGTCCTGTGTGCCCAGTAAAAATAAGAGACACTCTGGACTGCCAGTCTTGGAAGTTAAATATCATGATTCTCCATGTTAGATCTTGGATCAGGTTTTCCAGAATGGGTTTAACTTTGTGTAGCCTACAGATCTGAATTCCTGGGTGGTTAGGTACCCTTCTCCCCAGCCTTACAGAAATGCCTCTGTTCTGTGTGGTTTCAGATTCTTTATATCCCTTTCCTTCCACAGAAATGTCCTGCCTCATGGAGGCCCTGGAAGATAAGCGGGTGAGGTTACAGCCCGAGTGCAAAAAACGCCTCAACGACCGGATTGAAATGTGGAGTTACGCAGCAAAGGTAATGACCAAGAGACTCTCCTGAAGTGGCCATCTCTTCTATCAATTTCCCAGTCTCTTCAAGATACTTCACTGGTCTTCTTGTCCTTGTTGTGAGACTGGCAGTCAGTGCATTTGAAAAATCTGTCCGTGTACCTTTAAGCCTCCTTGGCTGTCCATGAGCCTGGAGCCACCATGTCCCTTTGCATTGGTCTGTGTCTGCAAGGCTTTGCGAGAGCCACTGCTTTTGGCCCTCAGTTGCCCGTAGTCCAGCACTAAAAAGTGGGTTACCCAAAGGAAGGCTGTGACTTAAGCCAACCTTGCAAAGAGAAGCTAGACATCATGCCCATGGGAAAAGGAAGAAATCCCGCCACTCCTGTTGTATAGCTTGTTTTTCTAATTTTACACAGTCTGTAGGAGAAGAACATGTATGTAAGACTGGTCCTCAGCTAGCCTGGAACATAGAGAATCATAGGATAAAGAGAGACATCAGAACACTGGTGAAAATGTATGGTACTCAGGCAGACTTGGGCTGGGGGAAAGTTTTCTACAAAAATTCAGCCTCAGTGAGAAGAATGACAACAACAGGTCTTCTCATGTATATGTTGCTTTATAGTTTACAAATCACTTTGAAGGCTATATTCTCTCATTTAAACCTTAAAACCCTACAAGGTAAGTGGAATGATTATTTCCCCACTTTATGGTGGAGGAAACCATGTCTTTAGAAATTATGACTTGCCCAAGGAGAAAAAATCAGGTTTCCAGATCCACGTTCTTTGTATTTACCTACACTGGGATAGACATTCCTTAGATCAAGGGAGTGAACACAAGGACTCCCCTCCTTCTTGGCCAGTTCCTCTTGTCACCCATGTGCTTAAAGGTCAAAGGTAACAGGTAAGCGGGAAAGACCACAGAAAGTCTTCATGCCTAGACATGATGAGCGGGGACCATAGCTGTCAAAATAGCAAGCACGCGCCTCACGCCTTCTCCTGGGGGAACAAAGTCAGCTTTGATGCCCCTGGTTAGAAGAGGCAGCAGAGACACTAAATTAGTCTCCTCTTCCCTCACTGGTTTCTACCTTTGAGCTGCTGAGCTTGCTTCAGGGTGACTCCACTGCTTGTTTTGTGTCGGCAAATGTTGGTGCTCAAATCGCATTCATCTGAAGCCTCCTGCTCTGTTCTTTGTACATGGGATGAGCATAGCAGCAGACCAGACTTCTCTGGGCCAGCCCCTCTCAGGCACCCAGGCTAAGGTGAGACTCGAAAGAACAGGCTCATATGCACCTGGGGAACCTTTTGGTCCCGATTCTGCCATAGCAGGCTACCATAGAGGTGCATTTGAGAAAGCAGTGAGGAAACTGAGGATGAAGACTGGTTACATTGTAAATGCCCACGATGGGGGTTGTGGGGAAGTCTATTCAGTCCATATATGTCATATTTGCACATTGGTTTTGATGTAAGGGAATGCTTATGATATAATGGTGAGTGAAAACAAGTCCAGATACAGAGTTAGCATACAGCACAATTTCAATTGTTTTTTAAAAGGCAGCAAACATGATGAAGAAAATAAATCTGAATACGTAAGAACCCGTGACCGTGTGCAAGTCACGAAACCACCTCTACCGTGTGGGCTTCTGGGTCTTCATCTATAATATGGGAGTGATAAAATCTACTTGCAAGGATTGGTGTGAGGACTAAATGACTGAAAACATGTTGAGCCCTTTGCCAGAGTCCAGTCCTCAGTGTGAGGGCTCTTATTTGGTTGGTGGTCGTGACTCCTCCTCTTTGGATTTGTATTTTCTACTCTTGTGCAGTAGATCTATACCATATCATGATCAGGAAGAAGATTTGTAGCTCTGTGTTTGACTTCCTTGTCCCTTGCCCTCTCTCTCCAAAAGAAATGGTGTCAATGAAAGTAGGAATCAAGGGCGGACAAGTTAGAGCTAGCACCGCCCCCAGCCCATTTCTCTCTCAGAGGGTGATACTGCTGTGTGTCATTCCAGGTGGCCCCGGCGGATGGCTTCTCTGACCTCGCCATGCAAGTGATGACATCCCCATCAAAGAACTACATTCTCTCTGTGATCAGTGGGAGCATCTGTATATTGTTCCTGATCGGCCTGATGTGTGGACGTATCACCAAACGAGTGACACGCGAGCTCAAGGACAGGTAGAGCCACCTTGACCACCAAAGGAACTACCTGTCCTGTGCCCAATTTGTACAGCCCTCCTGTATAGCGTATCCACTCCGTTCTTCTCAGAGGTGACACCAACACCCATGTTAGAGCAGCAGGTATGCACTGCATTGTCCCATCTCAGACTTCGCCCGTGTCCATGGTGTCTCTCCCTTCGACCGTCTGTGCAGCATCAGCAGCTGGCCACTCTGGTTATCACCTTTGTTGGCAAACTTGGGTTTACCTGCCCGTAGAAAAGTCTCTCTCATACCAATGGAACTACCAGTACTTCCAGAACCAACTCACCTGACCTGCAACTCAAATGAATTTTTAGGAAAAAAAAAAAAACACCACCAAAAAAAAAAAGAAAGAAGTTTTTAAAGAAAGAAAAAAAATGTATATAGTAACATATCTCCTTCAGGCTTGATTTGGGCAATGGGGTTATTTCTTTCGTGTGACTGTGTAAACCGAAGGCAGGACATTAGAGGGGAAACACACCACCCAATATGCTATACCTGGGATATCGTGCTCATTTCTCAAAAGCACCTTTGGGCCATGCCGTGCCATGGACTTCACCGAGTACTGGGGAACCACTCACCAGCCTGCTTTGGGTCCTCTTTTCTTCTGCTGAAACAGTGATGCCTTCTAGTTCCTACCCTAATAGAGCCACTGCTGGTTAAGACCCCAAGGCCATGGGTATTTCTATGATCTCCTGACCTCAGTGAAATTAAGCATGAGCCTCCTTAGGCCAAGGGCAAATGGGTTGGGGAGGAGAACCAAAAGTGTGTGACGCTGGTCAGTCCACTGATCTGCATTGAGAGGCTGGACCCTGAGTCCCCGGACAGCAGGATCCCAGTGATCGTCGTCCTCCAGGCTAGTGCCGGGCTCAGTGGCGTTGGGAATGACCCTGCGGGGTTAGCAGTTGCTCCCGAAGTCCTGCCAGGAGGCAGTGACCGCCGGGAAGGGGGCTCAGGGCAGGAGGGAGGAGCAAGGGATTGATTCACTTTGCTTTATTTTTCAGGCAACAGTGCAGGTCAGAGACAATGGCTTATAAAGATGTAGCATGGTCTCAGGGTGTGATTGACAGTCCAACCTGACCTTTCTGCAGGCTCAAGGTCACCTTCCCAGACAAGCTCCTTTATGCCTCTACGTGGAGAGGTCATGGAAAGTTACCACATTAAAAATGGAGGGTTTTCTCCTTTTTTTTTTTCTTTCTGTCCGTGTGCTTCATATACCCACTGCAGGAGGCATTAGCTAAATGTTGTACTTTGGTGATTCATCAATCTTTCCAGAGTCTGAGCTAAATGGAAGCAACATTCCTGGCAGCCCTCCCTCAGCCCTCCCGTATGGAGGTGACAGGTTTGGAGTGTGAAGAGGGAGGAATGCAGGCACCCTGGTTCTACCTGGCACACCTTGTTTTGAGTTTGGGGCATGGAGTCACAGTGGCCGCACAAGAGGGCGGTGTGTACAGTAGGAGATATATTTATATAATATATATTTTATTAACCTGTTAGATGTCCACAAAGTATTATAAATCACGTGCCTAAAACTGTCTGCATAGACCATGGCTCCCTTCCTCGCCCTGCCCCTCCTTTGCCACCGTCCTTGTGTGCCGCCGGACCTACGCAGTGTTTTTCTTTCCTGAAATGTGTTCAATACAAAGTGGGTCAGTTTGTGGATCACTTGATCCAAATTACTCCTTGTCTAACCTGACTGATGTATATTTGAATACTGTGGTTTTCTTTTTCTTTCCTTTCTCCTTGCTACCCTTCCTGGAAGCAGTGGGTTCCAGAAGCCAGCTGTGTATCCCCCCTGCCTAGAGTACTGCAAGCCACCAAGGGGAGCTACTAAGTTGCTTGGTCCCCTCAGGCCTGCTCTTAGGGTCTTCCTGATTCTCAGCAGCTGTCCTGGGATTCCTCAGTCTCATAAAACTTGAAACTCTTGGAGTCTGAGCAACACCCCCTACCACCACCACTGTTGGGACTGAATTGAGCTGGTCCAGACGGTCTACCTCCAGGGGCTCCCACCTGGATGGTGGGAACTGCTGAGGCATGGGATCGAGCAGCAGGGATGTTCTCTAAACACAGGCCCCCACTGGAGTGTCTAGTGTGGTTTACAGGATAGGATTAATGTTCATCCTTTGCGGGTGGGAGTGGGGGTGATACCTTCTCGTCTCTGCAGTCTCCCTCTAATATAGGTAAGAGTTTTCCATAGTTTAATGTGTCTCAATATTTCTGTTCTTTCTGAACTGAGAGACGATCTCATTCATTGTCTGCAGCAGGTCTGAAAGTTTGCAAAGGAGTTTGATTCTTGAAACATTTGTCACCTTTAGAAATGGTCAGAATAGAAAGGATAACTGCCAGTATCTTCAATTGCGTGTTGCAAGAAAGCATTTCCCCATCCTACTTGGAATAGTTTTATGGGACTGATTTTTGAGAGTCCAAGCAGTGTCCCAAGCCATTTCCTACGTCCAAGGGTTCTGAACCTGTAGCCCACTGGATCTATTCTGTACTGCATTTGGTATAACAAAGCCAAATGGTCTGGGGCACCTCTGATTATAGGCCTCACGGTTCAGCCATGAGTAAATCAATAGTCAAAAACTAGTCAAGAAGAAGAAACCACGGCCCAAGTGGAGGAGCTGATGACAGATTTTGGCATTTATCCCCCGATGTCTAGCCCATGAACAATAACATAAGCAGCAGGTAGAGGTTTCTACCAGGGCCAAGGCTCCAGGCACTTGCTGAAAATCACAGTAGCCAGGTGACTCCCCTGGCCTTGTTAACTCACCCCAGTGTCTCAGGGACTCATTCCAGAGGCACCAGGAGGCCAGTCTCCTGGGCTGGAGGCACTGCACAGAGGAAATCAGCCCTGGGCCAAATGTCAAGGACAAGACCGACTACTTCCTCTACTAGAGCATCTCCCACAGATGGAGGCCCTGGGAGTGAGACTTGACCCTGGTGCATCCCTGGCCTTCCTCCACTGTCGCTGCTGTCCCAAGAGAAGCCTGCTGCCAAGATGCGCCAAGATGGGGCCATAGCAAAGGCGGGGGTCCTCTGCATTCCCTGGAGGCCCTCTGCCAGCTCTGGGAATCCAGCCAGCTCGTTCTGAGCCAGTGCATCCTTAGGAACTAGGGGAATTCTAGTTACTATTTAGTGAGCAGGTGTTGACTTGAATTCACTGCAGGCCTTTGGTGATCTCACATCCTGCACTTACTCTTCTGGGGGGCAGCAAGCAGTTCTGCCAGTGGGGAGGGGGCAATTCTGCTTTCCTAGAAGATGCGACAGAAAATTACTGTTAGGTCTCATCTCTTCCCATCTCCTGAGATCACGTAATAGAAGAATCCAGTGGTAAAGAGGCCTGTAGCATCCATTTACATTTTATTGGACAAAGTGGAAAGGGAGTTATATGCTGGCTTCCCCTGCCTTCCCAAGAGAAGAGTCATTCTCCTATATGAATGTGAGCTCTAGAAATGTCTCCTGTCTTCCCCACCCCCAGGCTGTGATCCTGCTTGTAGCCCAGAGATCCCCTCTATAGTGAGTCATTGGGGAGAATGAGATTGCTTCATGGGGCCTCCTTTCTTAGCTGGCCTCAAGCTGCTCTGAGAAGCCCTGCACTTCCCCTTCCTTCCCTCTCCCCACCATAAAATGAATGTTCTCCACATATAACTTATTCTAAGTAAGAAGATACAGAGAAGGGAGCTAGAATAGGGACCCTTGATAGCCAGCCAGCCCAGCCTGACACATTCAACCTAAATTTTGGCAACAGAACAAAAAGAAGAATATGGCGTTTTGAATGATGTGCATTTTGGTATGTTTACTTGTATTTCGGATTCTCGTGAATGTGAAAAACCTCAAAAATCCCTTTTGTTTCTCACCCTTTGGACAGCACCTAAGTGGTTTTGTAAAACAGCACTCCCATGCCCTGGGTTTCTCCTGGACCTTTAGGGACACTCCTCGCCCGGGTCACCTCCTCCACGCTGCTCTTTGATCCCCAGAGGGCCTGGGGCCAGAGCTGATGTCTGGCCTGCTTCGCTCGCGCACTTGTGTTTGGTTGGTCGCCCCTCTCCACTCCTCTCGGTCCTCCTCTCCACTAGGACCAGAGTCCCATGTTGGGGCAGTCAGGTTTAAAGCCGAATCCCCTTTCCTACCCAGACTTCAGACAGCAGAGACTCAGTAACTAACCCAGACCAGCTCTTCAGAGTGACCGGTTCCCCCAAGCCATCGAGTAGATCCCCACAGAGACCCATTGGGAGCACAAATGTGGGACGGTCTGCTCAGGCTGGAGGTGACAGGCTCCTCACAGTGGCTTCCTCTCCTTCCCCATCCCACGTTCCACCACAGTGCACAGGCAGGGACGTTGGAAAACGTGCAGTGGAGAAATCTCCCTGGGCAAGGAGAAACCTCAGAGAGTGCCTCTATATTCTGTTTTTGCCTTCCCCACAGAGAATTGACACGTGGACCCAGAGCCCAGCAGGCCCTACGCCAGACGTGCTAGGTCTGGGTGGTTGGAACAGGTCTCCCGGTCAGACTGCAGTGCGCTGGGTGGAGCAGCTTCTCCCAGCTCAGCGTTCCCAGGTCAGCCTGAGAAGGAAAACAGACTGCGCAGCAAATGCTGTGTGAGATCTTAGGCCTTTCACTTTTTTTTAAGACAGAAAGAAAAACTTTAAATTAGCAAGCCTCTTTTGTAAATGGTTTTCCTTTCTATGTATAAAGTCCCGGCAGTTCCTTGTTTTTACATGTTCATGCTGTGTAATTTTGAGCTGTTAACTGAGATTCTGAACATAATGTGCTTTTTTTTTTTCTGTACAGATGAAATGGGAGAATTTAATAAAGAGTTTGCAGGTTTTTACTTGTTAAATCTTCTCTGTGGTGACTGGGAAGACCCTCCAACCACCTGCTCTGCTAGCGGACGTCTGTGGGGCTGTGAGTGCTGACTGAACTGGTCACTGACGCCCACAACTTACTGTTAGGTTTGTAGTATTCTTGGCGAATTAGGTCAAGCAGAGCAGGACCATAGGACGTTAGAGGAGAAATGGAAGTCAGCGCTGGGGTTTTCTGCCTCTCAGGCTGATCTGTCCAGAATGATGTATTCCGCTAAGAATGTGTTTAAGCCATGGCCTGAGGCTCCTTCCTGGGGGACCCTCTCCCTACCCAAGACTTCTCCTTAGAGATACGGCATATGGATGGCGCCTGGTCTAGTGGCCACCTCCCCATTGAAAGCTAGACCACACTTGTTTTCTGTGCCCTTTTAGTCCTCGCCTGCCCAGTCCTGGGACTAGTGACCACTGTGACACCCTTGCTGAGCCTTTCCTTCTACCTCCCCCACTCTCGGCAAAGCTAATTTGCATCTGGGTGTTTAAAAAGTAATAGCTTAATGAATTTGCATGGTAGCAAAGATTTCGTCAAGTCGTCATGTTCGTACTAGGATTTGAGTAATGGGATGTTGAGTGAGGAAAGAAGGGGTAACCTGGGACCCAGGGTTTCTTCTCAAACTTCTCAAATCCATTTCAGCAGCTGTCACTTAAGAGGTGGGGGGCCTGGGTATAGAGTGGAGGCCGGGAGAAAGTGTAGAGTAGAAAGAAGGAGGAAGAGGGTTTGGGGGCCTTTGGGGTCCCCCGCTATGTAGGGAGCTCTGGGCAGCGATCAGCCCTGAATGGCAAGAGTCTGGTACCAGGTGCTTTTGAGAGACCTGGAGAAGCTGCCTCTTTGGTGTTTTAAGTGTGGGGAGTGAGGTCCAGGGTTCAGGTTCCCCTTTTCCAAACCCCACAAGGGAGAAGTGACTCACTAGCCAAGTGCACTCAGCCCCTCGGGGATGCTTAGCAGTGATGGGGAACACACCATACTGCTGAAGCCTCAGCAGTCTCAGAATGAATTGCCGCACCCCAAATTTGTGTGTGTGATTTTTCTGGGAAAAGCTCCTTGACCAACGTCAATCCTCAGGCGTTTGGCATCAGTTCTCAAAAGGGACTAGGAATAAAAGGGTTTTAGCCAAAAGGGGGAGAACCTTAGAGCATCCAACTCTCTCACTTGGATGAAGAGTGAGGTGCAGAGGTGGGGAGGGACCTTGCTTTCACAGGCAGCTCACTAGCAGCAAAAGGTCATACACTTTTTTCTCAGACCAGCCAGACTGGCTTTGGCAACTGTATGACCAAACTAAAAACCCCAGCCCCAGGCTCCGTCCGGGTAGGGGCAGCTGACCTGACCCCAAGTCTGCCGACTCTGGACAAGCTTCCCGTGGGAGCTGTTGGCCTTGGTCCTGGGTTCCCACATGCTTGCCCCAAACAACCCACAGCACAGCAGTGTCTTCTCAAATACCCTGTATTTGTGGAGAAACTCCGAAGTCTGGGAAAGAAAAACGGTACAGACTAGGAGGAAGCTGGCTGGAGCCAGGAGGGAGAAGCCAGGGCATGGCAGTTCCTCTGAGGACGTGAGAGCTGCTGGGGCTCCGCCGCTCGCACGCCAAGGCCCTGGCATCTTCCACCTGCCTGCGTCCTGGAACCAGGGGCTGATCCTTGACCCTCTAGGGTGAGGGGCTTCGTGGGGTGGGCCCAACAGCAGCGATTCCTCCAGAGAGCAGCCAGGGCCAGGCCATAGAGCAGAGCGCACACAGCAGCCCCACGTAGCAGTAGGTGACGGCAGCAAGGGTCTGTTCCAGCCCCACTGAGGGGAGACAGGCACGGGGTGAAAGGCGGGCCCACCCGGCCCTCTGACATTGCGTTTTCCTCGGCTTCTCCTCCCTGCCACTCCCTGCCTCCTTCCAAAGAGCTTTTTCCGGCTCACTTTCTTTTCCTAGAGGTTGTGTTATTCCCCATACACAGATGGAAAAATTAGACTTAAGTTCTGTAAGGGCAAAGATGGATTGGACTGGGTGTGGTAATTAGGTGGGTGCGTCTGAGGCCAGACCAAAAGACCACCCAAGGGGCACAGAGAGTTTGGGGCACAGCCGGGATTGCATCGTCCACAGGAGCTGCCTGGATCTTCCAGTGGGAAGGCTCCTCTCCTCTCGGAGCTGATTTATTCTGTGTTCCTGTCCTGTGAGCCTTAGCACAGTCTTCCTTTCCCTCTAAACCTTGGTTTAGTGACCTAGCCTTCTAGACTCCCTCGTGTTTGACTATGTTCCTCCAGTCACCTCTGCCCTGGCAAATACTTAACTATTCCATAAATATTTGTTGAGTGGGTCAGTTTGACAGGGAAAAGTCATGTCTTCTCCACCTTGGGGGTTCTGGGTCTTAGGTCAGTGTCTGGGGGTCCATTCCAAGGGGCATGTCTCCTGTGTTATCATGCATCTCGGTCCGGTTCTCCGATTCCAGCCTTCTGCAACCTAGAACACTACAGATGCCCTTCCAATAACGTCCCTCTGCTGTATCCCCCAAAGGAAGTAAACAGGTATTCACCACCAGAAAGCATAGAAGCCAAGAGTGACAAAGTGGGTGTTAGGACCTCGCGAGTAGCTGGTCCCACAATGTTGTACAGGCTCCAGAGCCCAAGTTCGGGCCTCACCTGGAGGCAGGGGCAGAGCCAGGCTGCTTTGCCACATACAACTTGACCTTCCGGGTAGCCAGGGGGTAATCTGAATGTCTGAGTTCCGGATGGCTGCATCAGGAAGACCGGAGCACAACCCCTGGGCCCTCTGTACTCACCTTGGCCCCAGGGTAGGGGCAGCACATCTGGGATCCCCTGCTCCCCAGGTGAAGTCCTCCTCTTCCTGGTGTTGGCCTCTCAGGACCCAGGAGACCCTGAGAGGGTCAGGGTGGTGTCCTAAGGCCACACAAAGTGAATGGAAGGGAGGGCCAGAGGCTGGAATGAGCAGGCTCACTGGAACGGCCAGAGAGCTGGAGAAGCATCTCCGCTGTGGGGACTGACGGGATGAAGGATGTCATCCACCACCAGCAGCCTCTTTCAGACCCACCCGTAGTCCTGCTGCATCCCCTTCCTTCCCTTCCCCTGTGGCCTTCCCTTGCCTCTCCCAGAATCTCTTTTCCCCACAGCTAGCCCTCTAGTTTGTTCCGCAGCATGTGAGCTGAGCTTACCACATGCACCTTCCCTCACTGGGCCCCCAGCATCCTTCCTACAGAGCAAGGGAAGGGAATCGATGTCATGTTCTTGATTAGGCTTTCCTTCCTGGGCATAAAAGTCTGGATTTAAGGCACCTGGGTCCATCCTCAAATGCTCCCGGCCAGTTCCCCCATCAAGAAGCTTGAGCCTCCACCCTGCCCGCAGTCCACTCTCCTGAGCCTTCCTTCTCTTCCCCCACCACTACCAACCAAAGCCTCCTCCAAAGGGGCTTCACCATCTACACCTTTCTTCCCAAGCCCACTGCCACTTGCTCATTGCAGCCCCGGGACCCTACACCCTCAGACTCACCCTGATAGAACAGACAGGTGCCTTCTCCAAAGATATAATGTACTGTCCTGAAAACCACATGGCGCAGTACTAAGTGCCCTCATCAGCAGGGTATTGCCCATGGTAAGGTGTGCAGCATTCTGGGCTGGGTCTATCTCTGCCAGGAAGCGGGGGTTCACACCCAAACCATAGGTCGGGGGAGCCCCTTCTCGCTGACTCAACAGGAAGGTGGGGCCATTCCCCATCAGCTGCTGGTACCAAGACAAGACATGGGCCCTGGCAGCGATGCTCACACCACACACCAGATCTGTGGGCTGGAACAGAGAGGGCTGGAAGATCTCTGAGGAGGCAGAGAGGATAGTGCCACCCAAAATAACTCCATGATCATTTATTAGGCATTTACTCAGCTCAGACTAGTGTGAGGTCTTTCTAGAGGGCTATTTGGCAAAACCTATGAACACTGTAGCTCACCATACCCTCTGAGCTATTTCCATAAATGTATCCTATAAAAATAACTTAATTCATGTATATTGGTATAGCTACAAGGATGATTATTATAATCTTTATAGTAATGAGAAACTAAACAACTATAATTAGAGCAGAGGTTACATTTTAAAATGAGACACCCATATGATGCAATATTATGCAGTCCTCAAAAAGAAAAACGTAGACTTCCACTTCTGAGTAGGATAGAGAAGTTTGCAGCCGATTAATGTTCCCAGTGAGAACAACTAGAAAAGCCAGTGAAACAGATGCCTTTTATGATTTAAGAGAGTTGTAGAAGCAACAGTAGCCAGGCAGTTAAGATTGTGAAGCGGGGAGAACCAAGAGGAGCCAAACTGACAGTCTGTGGCCATTTGCATTGGCCGCCTCAGGCAAGAGGCTGGAGATCCTGGTTCTCCCCAGGCAGGAGGCTTCAGGTGGGACAAGAGGAATTAGCAGAGTTTTGGTTTTTTATTTATTGTTTTTTATTTTATTTTTTATTTTTTTAGATTTTTTTTTAATTGGGGAATCGGAGAAGGGGAACAGAAAAGTTGCTGTCCTTTTGTTCTTCAGTCTAGTTGTAGAGGACGCTGCTTCACTGGCCCATGTTGGTATTATCATTGCGCACTTCCCAGGTGAGGCAGATTGGTCGCCGGCCATTGGACAGCCGCTCATGGCAGCTTACATCGGCTGCCAGCCGCTCACGCTGGCTGCTGGCCACTCACGGTAGCTTACAGCAGCCCAGGTCCTAGGTGGAGCTGTTGTTCACCATCTTAGCTGTAGAGGGCGCAGCGTCACTGGCCCTCATGTGGGATCTGAACAGAGACCCTGCTGCTCACAGCTGGCACTCCCAAGCCAACTCTTAACCAGCATGCCACTCGGCCGGCCCTATTGTTGTTGTTTTTTAATAGTCTCACAGCCTAGAGTGACAAAATTGAAGGTTTGAGGGACCTCAAAAATATGTTTGGGTTTCACACCGTTTACTGAAGTCTTAAATTTTACAAGATGGGAGCCTAACAAGCTAAGTCCAAA